GTCATCCTGCGCTATCAAATCAAAATGTACTATAGAAATTTGAGAGCCCGTGTCCTTTATAGGAATGTATTTCTTTCCTCTGAAAAATATCTCTTCATCAACGTTTTTGGGAAGTGTATTGTTATTTCTAATGTAAAAACAATGTACTACAGGGGCTTCAGGAATGTACTCCTCCTCAAGATCAGTAGAAGCAGTGGTTGTCATGGAAACAGGCCTATGGTTACTGCTTCCCTCAGCTGATTCCACTTGCTTTAACAATACGCTTCTTTGGTTTGATTATCATTCTTCCATGAATTAGGTTTATTTCGCACACACTGGAAGTGTAAATGGCCTGGCTGGTCGCAGTTAAAACATTTATAGTTCTTTCTCTCATTCTGAGGAGTTTTGATGAACTTTGATTCAGGGTTTATTAACTTTGGCGGACTAGTTCTTGGCAATTTAGGTGAAATACTACCCTGCCCTTCTCTTCCTGTTGTTTTGCTGAGGTAATTTTTATTAAAGGGTTTATTTATTTATTTAATTTATATCCCGCCTATCTAGTCCGATGGACTACTGTTGTCCCAGTATGGTCTGTTAACTCTTAGCTCTGAGAATCTGGGGTCCCTGTACTCATTAATATAATCTGTTCCCCAGCTTCTAGTAGATTTTTAGGATTTTTGTCCCTAACTAAATAACACAATTCCCCAGGTAATATGGAGTAAAATTGTTCCAACCCAATCAAATTCTTCATTTGTTCTAGAGAAGTGATCTCCTCCCTTTCCATCCACTTCTCAAGGCATTGCAGCAATTTAGCTCCCAACTCTGAATAAGATTCCTCCTGCCTTTTAGTAAGAGAGTGAAATTTTCACCTCAGGTGTTCAGCGTTAATACAAAACTGTGAATAAACCATCTTTTCATATGCCTCAAAAATCTCTCGCTTTATCGAGGGGCATCTGGGAGTACAACTCAGCCAAATCTCCACTTATTTGAGCCCTCAAAACAATCATCCTTTCATCATCTCAAATTTCAAAGTCCCAGCAGGCGAGCTCAAAAGCAATGAGAAAAGATTCAGGACAGTACCCTCTTTTATATTGGGGGAACTTCTTAAGATCAATTTTGGAGATAATTCCCCTTCCAACACTGTTGTTATTGTTAAGGTTATTGTTTGGAGCAGAAATTTCTAATTGTCTCGTTTGTAATTGAAACCCCCTTTCTGTCTATTTTCTTGTTCAAATGCCATTTGTTTGGCCCCTTGCTCAATGGCCAGCTGTCTGGCCTCTTGGTCAGCTCTCATTTTTAGTTTTTGTTTGGTCTCTTGCTCAGCTCTGAGCTGTAGTTCCTTAAATTTAAATTCCTGTTCCAGCTTCCATTTTTCAAACTTCCGGGAGCTTAATTCCTTTTGTTCCTCTGAGGCACCCTCATCAAACTCCTCTTGTTCTTGTTCTATTTGACTTAAAGGGTCACTGTTTCCCTCCATTTCTTAAGGTAAAACCTCAGCCTGAGGACTCCCCCTTTTGGTACGTTTGCGTGGCATATTTACTTCTGGGATGATTAGTACAGATTGTTTACTGATTTTTAAAGGACCTGTCTTTCTTCTATTACTTCCAGTCACTAAAATAATCCTATTTCAAGCAAAGGCCTTTTCTTCCCCTCCCTCAGATCCACTCTGAACCCTGGCTTCTGCTTTTTCACAAGCACTCTCTAAACTCTTCGAGCCTTGAGCCTTAAGCTAGCCTACTGGTCCTCAGATCCTGAGGTAAGACAGGAAAATTTTCCTTCAGAGTCATTCACTATCTCAGACCTCTCAGATCTGGGTTCAGAAGCCCCCACCATTAAGCTTTTCCCAAAAGCTCTAGTGAGGAACCAAACTTTTTTGCCACAAGCCTCTGTCTAAAAGGTACCCTTGACTCAAGAAAATTCTTTTTAAAATCAGGCTTGACTGGAGTTCTTCAAGTCCAAACTCAGGCTTCACTGGATTCCTTTGTATCCCGCCACTGCCAAGAATTGTGGTGTTCACCCTCATGCCCCTTTCTTGACCGTCAAGACTCAGAGCATACAAAGACAAACAATCCCCTCTTTTACACTGCTGCCACCAGGTGATCACTAAATCACCATTGCTTCAGGAAGATAAAGATTCAGGTCCATACTTCAAGGTCTTTTACATAGAACATTTATTTATTGATTACAGAAATAGAAATCGATTCATGAATCAAAAGTTATTATTAAAAACAACCTTCTATTTGATAATACACTCCTAACTCTAATTACACCTCAGAATTCCCCAGAATCCACACTCTATCTTTCTCCTTTCTCTCACTCCACTCTGACTCTTTCTCTCTGACCTCTTGACTGACTCTCTGACTCCACCTCTTATAGCATCTCTCTCCCAGCTCCGCCTCTCAGCAACATGAATATGCATGAACAATTACATAACAAAACATGAACCATTGACCTAATAAAGGGGAACGGTATAGCTGGTGAGGCATTTTTTGCTTCGCATTAAGACTCGAGGTGGTGAGGAGGGTCTTTGTCTGGCCTTTTGCTGGTGGTGGGCACTGAAGGATAGGCACTGCCAGAGCCTTTCTTTCTTTATAACTCCTTAGGTCTAATTATTTTTCTATCTCATATACTGTTGCCTTCATTTGAAGTAAATTAATTCTCTGGTGACTTTTTTGGAAGTTGTTTTTAAAGGTTCCACAGGACTCTTGAGAATGCCAGAAATTTTCTTTCACAGACAAGGACACCAGAAGTGAAAGAATCTGAAACAAAATTCCCTTCTCATTTTAAACAAAAAGACTGGCACAAAAATGCATGAAAAACAAAAGAGGTACTCTCGAAACAACTCAAAATTAAACAAATACAAAAGATTGTGCATCTCTCTAGTCAGGACCATGCTGCGTTTCAGTCCAGCAACATGTGGACGGCTGCATTTTGACCAGTGCAAAGTGTTCAGACCACACACAATTTTCCACTCTGCTTCCTGTTCCTCATGCAGCATCACTTGCATATGCAAAGTTGCAAGATCTTAATGCAACTTTAAGATTTAGAGATAGGTGAGAATTTGGTTTATCTTTTTATAGGCTTTCTCATCTCCACAACTTTTTTTCCCTAGTGGAACAGAAAGAAAAATGGGACTTTTTTAAAAAAAATGAACCTAGAAGTTAAACTGATACATTTGTTTATGTTGAGAGCCTTATATACTTGTGTGTGTTCTGTGCTGTCGAGTCAGAACCAAATTATAGCAACCCTATCAAGGCCTTTCAAGGTCAGTGTGAGATTTAAGGAGTTGTTTTACCAATTCCACTCCCCAAGTCAGTTTCCATAGCCAAGCAGAGATTTGAATCCTGTTCTTCAGAGACCTAGTCTGTCACTCTGTCCACGACACTGCGCTGGGAAGCCCTCTTTATGTGCTTTGTGTTCTAAAAACCATCTGGGTGGGAATCCCTATTTATTCCAACCATTTTTGTGAGGTTGAGCCAGGATCACTACACCTTTCTTCTGACTTCTCATCTTTAACAGAAACAAGGCTGGCAGATGCAACAGACATTTCATTTCCATGCTGGAAGTACAGTAGTTTGAAGAAGACTGAACATTTCATTTGGTCTTGAAAAAAACTTATCACAATTGCTGCTTATGAGGAAAAATATATAGATTTATTAAAATATTAAATTTGGCAAAAAGTGAAACTGAAAGGTTTCTCCTTCCCTCCATGCAGTTTAAGGTGGCCACATGCAAGCTAGAACAAGATCCTATACCTTTAACAGTTGTGCAGAACAAGGGGCTTTACCTGCTGTAACTGGTGTGAAAAGACTAGATCGACCACACCAGGGCTGTCTGCACTGAGGGAAGGAAGAGCAGTGCTATCGAGATTTGATTTAATTGTGTTGTAATACTTATCATACCCGTTTCTCAAATGTATTTTTCTTTTGGTCTCTGTTTCTGAGTTATAAATCAAATAATAATAATAAAAAAATTCTCTTGACTATGTGCAACAAACCAGTATAATACATGCCATCACAAAAACCGGCTGAAATCCCCTGTTCATCACAGCTATGAAAGATCAGGAGCCTTAATCATCTTCTTGTTGTGGTCGCCCTACTAGCAGGGACTTTACAGACACTTCTGTAAAATTATTTCTCTCCTATTCTAATAATATATATTTTTACTCAGGGAATAGGCATTGGTCATTAACAACCTAAGAACAACAGATATGAACATGGCAGTACTCTTTTTTTATATATATATTTGTTCCCATTTTGTCCCTTTAGGACTTCCAAAGATCTCATCTGTAGCTTTCCATCTTCTGACCTAGGTCCCATTATCTTTAGACTCTAAAATGTAAGTCTGAGATGTATCAGATCTACCTTGTCTGTGGTATACACACAGAGAAATGCAGGTGCATAAACATACATAGCATCAATCTGAAATCTGAGCCTATGCATGATATATAAGATACATTTTTTCCTATTATGGGTACATTGTTTTCTTTAACCAAAGGTATGTTTAATCAAAAGGACAAAATACATTTTTTGCTTTAAAATCAAGCCAGTCCAGGTTTCCACAAAACAAACTGATAGCACAGAAGAGGCAGAAAATAACTTTTCCAATTTAATATCCCTTAGTGGTTGTAGGTATTGTGCCTTTTAATCTAAGAATATCTATATTTTCATCTGTGAAATGGAGCTATGCCATTCTTTTATCTACCAGGAGAGCAATGGCAAGAGAAAGAGGACATCACTGATTTACACCATCATCTCAGAGTTTTTTCCTGCTTAAAAGGGTGAAGCCTGAACTCAGCTTTACATTACTTGAACCAGGAAACTTTAGGACATTGTTATGTTTTAATCACATACATCTTGAAAATACTGTTTTCTACAAGTCACCATGCAATACAGCAAGTTGTAGTTCAGCCCCTAGAGGGCGCTGTTGTGCCGTCTCCATCGATACATAGGAACCTTCTAGAACCAAATGTCTCCGGATTAATAGTGGTTTCTCTCATTCCACCTCCTTGAGGCGAACCAAATGTCTCCGGATTAATAGTGGTTTGTCTCATTCCACCTCCTTGAGGCACTAACCCTAAACCAAACAGGTCATGCCTACTTAAATACTGTAGAAGATCTGAGCAATGTGGTAGGCTTGACTGAGCCAGTAAAATAAATAATAGTAAGGCATTTCCGGTTTCTTACAAGTCAATTGTAAGCAAGACCATGGAAACAAGCAGAAGATAAGATGGCAGACACATCCAGGCAATTTCTGATCACACAAGCATTTTTCCTGGTGGTCAAAATTCTCTTCAGTTTTGTTTTTCCCAAGGTGGTGTATGGAAGAGAAAAGAACATATAAATTTGGGATTCTAGGACATTTCATTTGGGGACCCTCACGTTTAATAGCAACCTATGAGAAGGAAGCTCTGCCTTATTCCTGGGCAATGGATGCCTGCAAGCAACATATAGACATCATCCCACAACCACTCTCCTTCTCTCCAAGAGTCCCTCTTGGTTCAGAATATCCACTGTTGCTTCTGGGTTGGTTACGAATGTCTCTTCAAGTGCAGGGAAAGGTGGTCCGAGCGGGAGAAAGCACGTTGGCAGACCTGACACTTGAAGGGGCGATGGCCAGTGTGTTTGCGATAATGGCGAGTCAGCTCATCTGAGCGGGCAAATTTCCAGCCACATCCTTCCCAGTTGCAGTGGTAGGGTTTCTCACCTGCAAATGAATAAAGACCAACAAATATGACTATATCTTTGTGCTGCTCCTGAGTCATGAGGAGGTTTCCCCCCCACCACCTATTTCCATGGCTGAAGTGCTTTACCAGAAATAAATTATCTATATAAAACAAGGAACTCGATGTATACTTTGTGCGATACAGTGTTCCCAGTGGTCACTTCGTTCAGTGGAAGGATGTTTATTTTTGTGTGTTAGTTGCTTGTTTCTTACCTGTGTGAGTGCGGAGGTGGGCCTTCAGATGGGAACTCTTGGTGTAGGTCTTGCCACAGCTAGGATGACTGCAGATGTGACTAGCAGGCCGCTTGTGTGGCCAAGGCTTGGCTTCCTTCTTAGGCTTCGTTGTGCCTTCCCTAGTAGGCAGAGGAGGTGTCAAGAAACCCAAAAGGGGCAACCTGGTCAGAGCAGGATCTGTCTGGTACAGCTGGACCCGGGCTTGGCACTGGCTGTAGTAGAAAGGGTGGTAGCCGTTCGAAAGGCTGCAGTGCTGTGGTTGAGAGGGCACCGCTGGGGACTGACTATAAGAAGCATGTTTGCCCAGCAAAGGAGGGGCTGGGTGGACATAAGCTTCATAGGTCATCTGATAATACTGTCCATGGGCTCTGTGTTTGGCTTCCCCACGATGCTGACTCTCAGAAACAGGAGTTTCAAAGTCTGTCTGGGCAAAAATTTGGTTGGTGGAGAATAACAGACTATTATTTGGATTTGTCACCTCCTGGGCATAGCTCTGCAGGGCACCAGGAACACAATCCATAGACTCCTCTCCTAGTTGGAATTTGGCATCCAGGTCTGAGGGTCCCTGTTGAACCCTGTTGTTTTCCGGAAGCCTCTCCCTGTTTTCCTCCACCATGGCTACTTTCTGACAGACAGCAGACACTGAAGGCTGTTCCTCTTGGCCTAACTGAGGAGCACTATTTGCATTTGGTTCTGGGACAGAGAAATTCTTCAGGAGAAAATCAATATCCCAACATGATTCATCACACTCTTGCTTGATTTGCTGGATCTCCTCAGGTTGAGCCGCATCCAAGATCTCAGGAGAGAAAGGATCTGGGGAATCCTCGGTTTTCCACCACTAGAATGTAAATAAAAAGCAGCAAATGCACTAGATGTTTCAGAACAAGTGCTGTGTGAGAGAAGCAAAAAAGCCAAAAAGGGCTGCCAAATAAGGTCTATAATGAAATGTTCTGTTAATTAAATATGGAAACCAGTTACAAAAATGTTTAAATTGATGAGCTCCAGAGGCTAGGAGGGCATGGCCTACAGCCTGCCACTGAGGTAAAGATAAGTGGAAGTCCATTATCAGAATTCTACACAAGCTTCAGTTCTGCTCAAGCAGTGTCCCAGTTATCTCAACAGGCAGCACAGATGTTCACCAAAAGCCTTTTGAGGCTCAAGTAACACCATTTACTGACATCCCTCTCTTCCAAAAAGAACTCTGCTCTTTCTCTTGTCCCATACATATGCCTTAACTGGCACTTTTGCACAGAGTCTGGAAAATTTTATTATTTGTGAATACAGTTCCAGAATACCTCCAGACACCTTGGTCAACACAAAAATAATTATTCCAAACTTTATGTAAGAGTACATGTAGCATTTGCTGGATGTGGGCCTTACATTCATACATATGATTCTCTTTGGAGAGACAAGTACGGCAGAAATCACACCCAAAGGAGTCCATGACACTCACTTTGCCTAGGGCAAGTCTAATAATTTTGCTGCCTGAGGACTGAATGCGCAGCTTATCCTTTAACCTGTCCTTGCTTTCCAGCAACATTAATCATAGTGGATACAGTATTTAATGTCATTTTGGCACCCAGGACAGAAAATCCCAGGGTCCTAATTACCTCAAGAGACATCTCTGAAATACAGTAGAGGGCTATTCTGCCCTTCCCATTTCTGGCAGTAAAGATAACAATAACTAGCTATCATTTGTCTTTTTTTGTATTCAAAACAGCCTCATATACTGTACATTATTTCATTCACCCTTACAACTACACAAGTCAGTAGTATTCTCTTTTTATCTGTGCGTGGTGAGGTAGGAGGAGGGGTGGGGGGAGATCAAATGAAGATGTAAGGACTTGCTCTACAGCACCCAGGAATTTCACACCTGAAGAGGATACATGAACCAAGGACTGTCTGTCTAAGGTAATTCTACAGGTTCATACTCCCACATCCTCTCAATAGCTTTTATCCCATCACAGTTAGTGTCAAGCAGTTGACTGAGGTAATTTATAACAGAGCGAAGTAAGGTCACCACTTGTAAAAGTTTTTTGGGACTACAGCTCCCAAAATCCCCAGCCAGAAGCCCTCTTGGTTGAGGGATTCCGGTAACTCAGATGTAACTTTTAACAAGCTCTGAGTAGTATAGCTTGTACAAGTCCCTCCCTCTGCATAACAGGTTCCAGTCATAACACCCAGAAACACAATCTTGTGGGGTTTTTTACAACTTGCCTTTTTAAAGAGAACGTAGCTGTGTGAAACCCTGAATTATGGCATAATTAGTTGTATTAAAAACCAGAATAGTAGGTCTAAAGCGATGCTACTCTACCCATTTTGAGTAACGAATTACCGGTAACACCTTAGTAGAAAAGTACTTCTCATATCACACTACAAGAAAAAGTGATTCAAAAAGAACACAAGTGTTGTACAATCCTAACTTCACTATACAAGAAACAGGGGCCCTTAAGCTTTGCCAGGTGACCCCCCATCATATAAAAAAGTATTTGCACAAAGGAAGCAAGGGTACAGAAGGTTTCGGAAAGCAGCAATTTACTACTGCTGTTACGGAAAGAGACCTTGCTGTGGTTAAGTAGGATTTGAAGACTAGATCCTAAATACCATTTAGAGGCGAATTCACACACACACACACACACACACACACAAAGCAATCTTTCCTAGAACCAAGCAAGTAAGAAAGAAAAAAGCCCATCTACAGCCAGTATGGCACACAACCCATCCCCAACTCCTCACCTGAAGGATTTCAGACTGGATGTCCTGGTAGTGGTTGAACCCTCCCAGTATACCAGCTGAGGGCCACACAGTCTCCACAGATGCCATGGCCTATAAATAGCAAAACCACTAGAACAAAATAAAAGAAAGCAAAAATTGGATTGCAGACAGAATAACCACCTATCTATTGGAACTTCAAGAATCTCTTGATTTGTCTTTTTTTTTTTCCTTTTGGTTCAGGTGAACACCTCTGTTTCTCCAGCTTAAAACTTTGTTCTGCGTTTCTTACCATTAACTATTTATCTCTTTTCATTCTTTTACAGTACTCACTTGCCAGTGTGGTGGGGGTTGGTAGGTGGGGAAGAATAAATGGAGGGCTCAGCACCAATCAGTAGGAGGGGGTGTGGCTGTCCAAGGAAAAAGGCAGAGTTGGATTAGGATTAATTATGTGTAGTAATTGTGTAACACAGTTATGGGTCATTTTTGGTAAACATATATGTTTGAATGCTAGCCCTAAGCCAGAAGTCAATCTATTTTCAGTTGGATTTGCTTTAAAATAATGAAGTTTAGGACTGCCGTTTGACCAGATGTAACCCTTTAGAGTGAGAATACTTGGGTGTTAGGATATGTTTGTCATATATAAACCATTGCCAGCCAAATAGCTTTAGATCTAAAATATCAAAATGCAAGAGATGGTGGACCCAGCTCTTACCAAATTAAAATGTTAGGTTTATAACATAAAGTGTAAGGACTAACCCAAGGCATTGGAAACAATACATGATAATGGCCCATTATAATCTGGGAAATCTATGTTGATTGAAACGATCACAAAAGTCTTCCATCAGAAGACTCAGAGAAGCAGCTGAGAGGTCTCTCCAGGCATTTCAATCTAGTCTTTATAAAACAGAACAGAAATCAGGGACTAATCCTGCAAGCCTCTGCAGGATCCTTCAGTGAGTCTGTTCTCAGGTGAACTGACTGCAGTGCAAAACTCGGTGAGTAGATGACACATACTTCTGAAATCAAAGAGAGACTTAGAGAGGAATTTAATGCATCAATACTCAGGAACTGGCTTTCAGATTACTCACAGAAATGTCTACACAGAATTACAAACTAAAAATGCACAGATGAAAAAAAATGAGGTGAATCTAACCTCACAGAAACATCCTACTTGTACAAATAAGAACTAGATCCAATAAATATGTGTCAATTGACATTAGTCCAGATTCTTAATGTTGTTATTAACTATTATATTTTCATTGTTGTAAGCCACCTTGGGTCCTTTTTAAAAGAGAAAAGTGGGCTAAAATACAGTAGTTTAAATAAAGACATTTAAATAATGGGGTTTAAAATGAAGACACTTCCTCACATAGAGAAAAGTTGTTGTACCTAAGGATGTGGGCTTGTTAAAGCTGGGAAGGGAAGTAACCATTCAGAAATTAATATTTTCTTATTTACAGTGACATTTTTTAAAGTTCAAAGTGTAATGAAAACCTGGGAATCACCCTCTAGTTCTCATTCTTAATGGTAAACATTTAAGTATGTACATTTCACTCTTTTCTTATTGCTTCTGCCCCTCCCTCTTGTGGTTTTCCTCATTGTCAGTAGAAGTTTGTAAACGCCCTGAAAGCTGGAACAGGTCTATTTTTGCCTATGAGTATAAATTTAAAGTACAGTACTGTGTACACAAGGGTATGTAAACATATAAGGGATATACATTAAGAGAGCACAAAGGCTAGTAATGCAGAATAGTTTAATTTAGGGTCACTTAAAAAAATTAAGCATAATTCAAAACTGTACTTGGTCAATAAATATTATGGAGCTAGAAGGGGGACTTCACAATCTCTTGAAATATTTATGGTATATCATTAGATAACAGCTATCTTTATGCAATAGTCAATGTATACCCCTCCTTTACTTCTGTTTGTTCAAGATAGTGTACGTGATCCTCATTCTTCCAACTTTATCCTTGCAACCCAGTGAGTTTCATGGCCAAGACAAGATTTGAAATCAGTTCTTCCAAGTCCTATTCCAACCCCCCAAATTGTTATAGCAGATCATATAAATTAATGACTTAGATTTTACATGATGTTTTTCTTGGCAACAGTAGAATTGAGCAGTCCAGCCCATGCATCTGAGGGCAAATGTCAGGAAGAGAATTAAAGGTTAGAAACTGTATTAGTCCATGGGGAGATGTTCTCTTCAAGCTCCATCAGAGTGAAGGCACTGCTGTGGACGGTGTTCCTTCTTAATTTGGAATTTCTGCCAGAAGCATAAAAATGACTTGTGCCAGCCAGCCCTCCATGTCCATCTGGTCTTCACTGCCTTATCTGTCTCCCACACCTCGTGCTCTTCTGAGATAGCTTGTTTTTCTTGCTTTTGATTTGGTGCTGGGCCTAAAGTCTTGGAAGAACTGTGGATGCCAACGTTCAAGCCCTGACTTAACCATGGAAGCCACTGCTAGGCTTTGAGTCAGGAACCACCTCAGGTTCGACCTGACCCAAAATCATTTTGGGGGATAAAGGAGGATAATATATGCTGCCCTGAGCTTTCTGAAGACTGGGACAGGATCTCCTGTTATTGTGATTTTTTTTAAAAAGCATTAACCTATAGCATGAAATAGGCTTGTCCCTAATTTATAGAGGAAGAGAAACATATAAACTGCTTGGTTAGACTTTGTTTTCCCTCACCAGACAACACACACCCCCGTACATGTGTTTCTAATTATTATAATTTAAACAACTGCTGACTAACTTTATTGCTTGGTATTTACCACGTTTTGTTTCATTTCATCCATTCTTGGGGACCAACCCACAGGAAAGGGCCAAGGCCTGCTGTCCCCCCTTTGATGATGGGGGAAAGAACCCTGTCAGGAAATACAGAGCATTCGGCATGATCTCAGGTTCACAGTTTCACAAGCTGCAGATTGCCCTCCCTCCCAATGGGACTTATGGATGTGCAATGGGGTAATAAAAAACAAAACAAAACAAAAAGCACAACTCTGCGTACAATGGACTGTTGTGAGAGCAAGCAGAGACAAAGAGGATTCTGGCTAGAAAGTGGACACTTGAAAAGAGCGTCCATTGAAAAAAAAGGCTGCCTTTTCCCCCAGGGCATGATTTGCCAACACACCACTTTCTGGGCCAAAGTGCTCTAGAGAGCAAACGGTGTGCAGCAAAATTAAGGTGTGGGGCTCCTTAAGTCTCTTGAGGCAACAACAGCTTCCTGGGAATTCCCTATTTTCTTCCCCCTACCTTTTCCAAATAGATGTTCCTCCACCTTACCTTTTGCGGCTGTCTTACCATGGAACTGCAAAGAAAGACGAGCATATCATCAGCTTGCTTGCTTTGTGGAGAAAGGCATGAAAATAGATTACCAGCTTGCCGTCGGTTGATATCAGGATGTCTCAGAGAGGCCTGGCAGTCAACCCCTGTAGTGATACTAGCGTCAAGAACTATGAGGACATCTTGCCCTTGTGTGGAGATAAACCATAAGCTTCAGAGAGGAGTAATATTCCTGTAACCTAGCAGCTAGGTGTGGGGAAAGGATAATACTGTTGGCTTTCGCTGATCCTGTTTCTACTTGAACCTTCACAGCAGAGAGAGGTGTTGTTCCTTCAAGACGCTTCTGTGGAAAAACACCTGTATTCTCTGCAGTTTGTGGAGGAATACTCTAGAGCAGTGGTCCCCAACGCTGGGCCTCCAGATGTTCTTGGACTACAACTCCCAGAAGCCTTCACCACCACCTCTGCTGGCCAGGATTTCTGGGAGTTGAAGTCCAAGAACATCTGGAGGCCCAACATTGGGGACCACTGCTCTAGAGCAGAAGCAGGCAGCTTTGTCTAGGCTGCTATTGTTACATAATGTCAAGTTGCATTTGACTCACGGTCCAAATGGAATAAATAAATAAACAAATAAATATTGTTATATAATGTCAAGTTGCATTTGACCCATGGTCTCCCTAGTAGGATTTTCAAGGCATGTGGGAAATTTAACGAGTAGTTCTACCAGTGCCACCCCCATAATGACTTCGCATGCAGGGACTTGACTCAGGTCCCCTGGGTCTAGTCTTTCACTCTGTCCACTGCACCACAAAGGGTCTTGGTGTCCAAAAGCCCAACAGTATTGATATCGGGAGAAAGGGTTTGTATGTGGCTATAAGAAACTGATGACAAGGATGGAGAAGGGTTGCCAGTGCTCTGACAGAAGGTCCCTGCTGTTAACAGTTGCCTGACAGGACCACAGCCTAACTTTCCAACATTATAGGAATTTAACAAGAGTTGCTGTACCTGTTAACTTTGTACCTGTCAAGGAGGTGTGGCTAAAAAGAAAGGGATGGGGAAAGGGATTAAAAAGAATGGCTTATGTTCAGTGTGGAGAGGTGATGTAAGTCTGACTTCTTGTTCCCTTTCCTTGCATATCCTGTTGTTTGACACCTTGAGTGGCGTATGAACATCCCCAGTCTGCTGGGATGTGGCAAAAGGAAAGGCCAAAGCGTATTATTTATAGTCAGGTATCAATATAGCCGAGACTTGTGCTGCCTGTGCCTCGGTGGTGGTTGAAAGCCATAAGCCAGATTCTGGTCTTGTAAATATGAACAGAAGTTGTCATGTGGTTAATAGCACTTGAAAGTTCATTCCTCTTCAGGTCTGAATTCACACCCTGTAACTGACTTGTTAATTTAAACATGTATACATTCCAAGCATACAATTTGCAGGTCCGAGCTTTGCGTACAGCATCAAAATACTAGACGCTGTTCCATGTCCTCCATACAGAGCACGTTACCATAGTCTCTCGAGACTGAAGGATGCCTATATTGTAGTTATTCTTATATAGTGTTGTATACATGTCTTCATAGAGGGCGTTCTGGATTATGATTTTCATCCATTGAAAGAGATTGCTTCACCCTGAAGAGAGCATATGATGAAATATGGAAAATTTTACCTGCACTTGCAGTAGTCAAGCAGAAGTGTTGAATATCAAATAAATGTACTGTTTATTTTTAAAGTTAAAGCAGTTACTCATCGATGTACTGCTACTATCCAGCAGTTATGTGTGGGCCTCAGTTTAAGGAAATGCTCACGCATGCATATGAATTCTTGGAAACTGTATAGAGCCATCTCCTCCCTGTCCCTCACCCTTCCTGCTCCAACCACAGAGGGAGTCAAAGCCAGGTCCTTTTGCTGACAAATGTGAAAGATCAAAAAAATCAGTGCAGGGTCAGAACATTAACCTCAAACAATGACAAACACTGCTTAATAGAACCACAGTCACACAGGGTGCCTCAGCTATATACACCCTTAAAAAATGGAACAGTGGATCCCGACCAATGACACCAGAGCAGGACACCTCCCAGCAAGACCATGGACCTGTCCTGCCATGTTTGCTATAACTGATGTTTCTGTCTTGACTTCACCTGACCGTAGCTTTTAAAAAGTTACCTGCCAAGTGTGATAATCTTTACTTAAGTGAGGGAGGATGTGAATTGAATTGAAATAACAGACAGGGGGGCTTTTTGAAGGGAGGGAGGGAGAGAGGGAGGGAGGTGCGTGCAGGACAGCCTTATTATGGACCCTATGATAAATATGGCTGCCTAATTCCCTCACTTTCTCTAGGGCATCTGGTTTCAAATTGCCAACAGCCCTATCACAAATTAAAGTTGTAACCATTTACAGTACTTATTAAATTTTGGGAGGATTACTTTTCTAGTGGATGACAGTCTTCAGAACTATTCTTCTTAGGCCTCCTTCAGTCTCGAGAGACTATGGTAAGGTGCTCTGAGCTGGAGTGTCCTCTTCAGAGCTCCCAATACAACTGGTTCCAGCGACGTCACAGGAGTTGACAGAACGACACAAACTGCCTCCGGGACTCCGGCTCCAGATTTTGCCTAGAAGTTAACTCCTGAAGCCTTTTCCATCAGTGGATATAGCCACAAGGCAGTGGCTGAATTAAAAACCAACTGTTTTTAATTTATTTTTGATTTTTTAAAAAGCAGATAATGATTTATTACTTCATGATCATTAACAGAAAAGGAGACTTAAAAAGATACTGAAATGCTAAAGTTATGTGTTGTTATGTTTTGGCCAATTGCATCCAACTTACAGGGTTTTCAAAGTAAGTGAGGGTGCATCTACATTACAATTTATCCCCTGTTTTGGACCACTGTTAGCACAGTTTAGTCCAGTGTGTTTTACAGCAACCACATGATGCATAACTAATCACAAACCCACCTGGCCTTTTTCTATGACTATTTGGCAGGGATGTGCACTAGCACCAAAATGCCCCCCCCCCGCTGCTTAATATCCATTTCCTCCTATTTAATTTGGGGGTCTCAGAAGACTGCTAGAAAATATTCCTCCTCCTTCCACAAGGGGCAGGTCCTTTAGCTTGTTTGCTAAGATCACCACTTCAGGCTGAAAAATGCTTTTCTCCCTCAGTGGAATCTCCCATCCACCTAGACTGGCCCTCATTATGCCCTCCACCATGACAAGCCATACTGGTAATATCGGGATCACCTGGCTAATGGGGGCTGTCTCCCCACTATGATCCTGTGTGGCACTCTCGAAGCTTCATTGGACATAGACCCTTTGATCCAAATGTCCCAGTCTTCTCTGCCCAGAGGAGCAGCCACACCAATGGATGTCTCCAGTGCCAAACTGTAGAATACCCTTTGCCACGCCAGCACTCTTTCACACTTGTGCACCTTCGTGCCGCTATGCAAGCATGTGTTGCACACTGTTCAAAATGTTTCCAGATTATTGATTTCCTGGGACCTCCAGTTTATGACTGCATGTTCCCAACAAGGATTGTTATCTTGTCATCGCTACTAGTTCTGGCAATGAGGCAGGGGCAAATTATTTCAGTGTCACGTGCTTCTGAAATAGTGCCCACGAGTTCTCGCCGTCTTCTCCTCCCGCACGTCAGATGTCCATGTACTTCGAGGGGAGTTCCCACCAACCACAATGCAGCTTTGCATAGGAGAGATTGGTGGGGAATAGTAAACCCTTCCTTGAATATGCTGGAGTTGCATAGTACGGCTATGGAAAGCCATGTCTGGTGCTCTTCCTCGATCTCTTTCCCAACCATTATCCAAGAAAATGGTGGCACTTTTCAGCGGGGGAGAGGATGGTGGGGAAATGGCTGAAAGGAAAGTTGCCTCTTTCTCAATCCGTTTTCTCTTCCTGTCCTTTACTGGTGCAAATTGTTATGTCCCTTCAGCGCTGTGTCACAGGTAAGAAAATGTCAAGGGGAGGGGGGAAAGATCCGGGAAGAAGGAGTAAAATTGATGGAGGAGGAGAATTGCAGTGATTTGAGGTGTATGTGGTCTCTTGACCTGAAACTAAAATAAAGTGTATGTTTCCAATTAAACAGAAACATTGATCTAAATGCTGCCCATCACCCAATTGAGCCCAATCCAACAGAACAATTCTCTGTCTTGTGGCTTCCTGAGAAACATAAGGACTGGTTTTACCAGTGGCGCTCGCACCCCCGTGAGTTTCCATGGCTAAGTGAAGATTTGAATCCAGGTCCCACTCTGTCACTGTCCACTTACGCCATACTGAGTAATGACAATAAGCCTTCACTATTCCTCCAGCATTGCAGTTTGCAGTCCCACCACTTCAAATCTGTGTTCTCTTACAGATGGCCGAACTACTAACTACTCTGTGGACTACAAATACTTTCTTGCATCAGCCTGTGTAAGGGATGGGCAAAAGGCAGTCTGCTATTTACTATTGGACTGTAACTCCCAGCATTCTTCACTCCTAGCTATGCTCTCTGGGGCCGATGGGAAAGGGCAGGCCAATAATGTCTGGAACGGAAGGGCCACTTCTTATTACTCCTGAGCTACAGGGCAGGGCCGAAGCTCACTGAGACCAACAAAACATAAATTGTGCCAGTGCCAGGACAGATACACTAGCACAATAATCTGCTGGCACAGCTGTTCTGCTGGGGAAGATACACTGTTTGAACAGCTGAAATGGGGCATGGTTGTGGGTGGGACAGAGCAGCACACATAAATTGTGCCTCATACTCCTCCAGATCACAGCCATGTCCATGACAGATCATTAGTTATGCCAGCCTTAGCCGTCTACAAGGAAATTCTCTTCCGTGGAACTCAGAGGTGGGGGAACAGTTGCTCCCATGCAAGGGATTAAGCTGCCCATGCCACCACAATAAAAGTTGGCAACCAAACCCGCTTCCACATTTGGAAATACGGTATGACCAAATATCGTAAGATGGCAGCCAATTCACTCCAGTAGGGGTGAGTATAACATCATCCCAACATTCATGAAATTCTCTTTTACAGATGTCTACGCCAGTGGACCTTGTGGCAACATGTTCCATGTGTTCCTTTTGTAGTGTGTGAAAAAAATACTCTCCGGCCAATCTATTTCAGTGGTTGACTCGCAATTCAAATAGTGTGAGGGAAGAACAAATCATTGACTTTATCTGCGCACCATCAATAATTTTAAAAGTCTCTATGATGTTCTTGATTAATCCTTCCTTAAATTAAATCCTCCAAACCTTGTAATCCCTCTTTGTAGAGGAGATGCTGCCACCCACTGGCAGTTCCAGTTGCTCTTCAGCTTTTAAAACTCTTATTGGGTTTTCTTACATGGACCAAGCTAAACTATACGGTTTTTCAGGTGTAGCACCACCGCGGCTTTTATATTAAAACTTTACTACAGGGATGGGTAAAGGCCACCTCAACCAGCCTTAGCCAATGGTGAGGGACAGAGAGCTACTCAGGCACAAAGCTGTAGTTTAGGATGTCTGATTCTGAAGGGATTCTAAACAGAATTTCTACAAAAAAATTCAAGTAGTGTTGCCTCAATTGTTTGCATTTCAAGCAGTTCTAGTAATTTAAAGTAATTCTTTTTTTTCCTTTCCCATTATCAGCCTCTTAAACTCCACATAGTTTTATGGCCTCATCTTGTTATAATCTGGCCCTGGTGAGAGATTGTGGGCATTTGTAACCCAATAATGAAGGATTGTAGGTGTCCACCCTAGCATTTCAGTGTGATAGAAATCAAGTGGATAAAATATTTATATTTCTAATGTTTACATCTATGACTCTAGCAACTGCACTTAATAGTACACAAACCAAATAATGTTGAGGGGGCACTCTGTCCTGGATCAAAGGAATGTAAAATATAATTTTTTTCTCTGAGAAAAGAAGCGATCCATTTCTGGACACTGAATCAGTTTCCCTTCACAAAGAAATCACATGGACAGAAATATTTTCTTTTAGGTTTTTTTTAAAGTGTGGAAGCAATCAGCTCAAGACCCCAGATAATGTCAGTGGTCCTCTCTGTAGATTGAGGCATTACCTCAGGGAATGAAAACCACACAGTAGAAGACAGCTAAAGCTCAGTGGGAAACAGGGCAAATTTAGGAGTTTTTTTTAAGAACAGTATCGTTATTTTCATAAAAAGGACAAGCAAAATAATAAAAAATGCAGATATGATCCATAAGTGAATCAGGCTATGTGGTACAAAATGTAGAGAATTGGGAAATCAAACAGTGGAAACATCTGCCCAGATGTAATATCTCTTATCTCTCCAGATAGACCAATATGAAAGGTGAAGAGCATAAAGGTCCACTGAAGATGAAGAGTTGCTTTCTTCTCTCTGCAGACAAAGGACTATGTGTAGCCCTTTAAGGATCTGGTAGAAATACCCTTGTTCTGGAATTGGTTGACAAAAACAACGGAGAACTCAGCAATATTTACACCAACAGATCACATTTACGTCGCACACTAAATGGGGGGGGAACTAAATTGGGTTGTGGCATCTAATGAGTGGAGTGAGATACAGTAGAGCCCCCCCCCCTTGAAGAGCCATCTTCTGTCTTCAGTGGTGAACAAATTTCTCTTTTTCGAGCAGTGTATGCTGCCCCCCAGCGACAGAGCAGTAGGATTAGGCATCCTCCAGTCTCGAGAGACTATGATAACCTGCTCTGTATGGAGGACTTGGAACACCATCTAGTGTGTCTGAGAAGGCCAATTCGAGAGTGACAATCCCTTCCACACTGAAGACAAATACAATCTGTCCCCTGTCCAGCTCCCTGGTTTTGCTGGTTTCGAGACTGCCTCTTTGCCTCGGCCTGCTGGACAAGTGTTTCTTCAAAGTGGGAGAGGCCGTGATGCACTGCCTGCCTCCAGGCTGAACACTCAGATGTCAAGGTTTCCCATCTGTTGAGGTCCATTCCTAAGGCCTTCAGATCCCACTTGCAGATATCCTTGTATTGCAGCTTGGTCTCCCTCTGGGGCGCTTTCCCTGCACTAATTCTCCATACAGGAGATCTTTTGGAATCCGATCATCAGCCATTCTCACAACATGCCCAAGCCAACGGTATTTAAAAAACCCTATAGAGTGTGCAAGCAGTAACAGAATTTAGGGTGGTTTATATTGAGTCAATGAAATACCACAGATCCTGCCCAGCTTTCCAGTTCCTTACAACTAGGTGGAGGACTTAGGAAGAACTGGGCAGCTAGTTCCGGGCTTGAGACATTTTGGGGTTCATTAAAGGTACTGTATTGTATAACTGTTTCTAGTCATGTACCTCGCTGCTACATTTCGTTTGTTTGAAATCAAGAGAATAAATATCAAGAGGCAGGGAGATGAGACAGACTGACTCAGTCAAGGAAATCAGTTTTAAAGACTTGATAAAAATCTAATGAAGTAATGAATGAAAACTATCATCATCATCATCATCATCATGTGCCATCAATTCTTACTTAGGGAGATCCTTTTCAGAGTTTTTTAGGTAGAGCATACACAGGAGTGGTCTTCTGAAGGAACCTCGGGGATTGTGCAGCCGCCCAAGGCGACACAGACTGGCTGCACTCGTAGGCGGCACGATGGGGGGGGGAAATCGAACTTGCAACCTCTGGCTCCTTAGCCACAGACCTTGTCGCCTTAAATTGGAAAAAAAACCCCAAAATCTTGAAGGTACGTTATCAACAAGGTTGGGGGCGCAGGTACTCTCCTTTCAGAGACGCTTAATTTCCTTCAAGGGGCCAGGGTTTGGGGCTCCGTCCCCGTTGCGTGTGTGTGACACACACACACACACCCGAGGGTCTCCCTTTCCGCAGCTTCTGGGATCTCCCTCGCCTCCTTCCAGGCGAGCAAGGCCTGTGCCAGGAACCCCGCCTCCTGCGCTCTGCCAATAGGGGCGAAGCCTTGCCCTCTCGCCCCCCGAGGCAGGCAGGGAAGGAAGGAAGGAAGGCTGCTGCCAAGGAGGACTTTGCCCGCGGGTGAGGGTGGCGAAGGGAGAGGGGGCGCCGCGGGAGGGCTTGCCGGGGAAGGCGAAGTCGGCCGGCCTACTTGCTTGCCCGCCTGCTTGCGACGCCGCCTCCTGTTTTGCAAGCGCCGCGAGAAAGGGCGACTCGACAGTCAAGCTCGGCCGGAGGAGGAGGAGGAAGAAGAAGGCGGCGAGAGAACGAAGCGCAAGCCGGCTTGTGCGTCGCCGAGGTGGGGGCTGTTGCGGTAAAGTGGCGGGGAGGGGGGAATGCCCATTGCTGCCTTCTTATGGCTCCTTTTGGAGACCCCCCCTGAGCTTGCTTGGGGGGGGCGAGAATCCAAGAGATTTTGCCATCCCATAACTCTCTCCCTCCCCCCACAAACACCTGGTCCTCTTGGGAACAGAGGCCTCCCCAAGTAGCCGGCCAGGTGATCACTTTTGCTCCTCTCTCCAAGGGCTTTTTCCAGTGCTGGTCACTAAGGTCGCTCTGTCTTTGCCGCAGTGGGGGCCATTGAATGCCCCCGACCCAGCACCCCCCCCTTGAACCCATTGGCCGCTTGTGGTGGTGTTAATGACTGGGAAAATTGAGATTATCATCACCTGATCCCTGTTGCTTAACCGCAGGATTTGGGAACAAGGTTCGTATCTACAACTTACTGTCACACTGAACCTCTCAGCCCTTATTATTTGTTATGCGCTAGGGCTGATGGGAACTTTAGTCCAACAACATTTGGAAGGCCATATGCTTATCATCTGTAGTTGCTGTTGTCTGATACAAAATAATTAAGTTAACAGTAGTTAAGTTACAAACAGCATTAGGCTGCTTTTGACAGGGCCGGATGACCAGTTCAGAAGGACGTTTGAGTAAAGCAGAGCAGCCTAGATGCTCTCTAAACTGATTGTGATTTTTACATTTGTGTTCCCCGGACCTTTTTGCAGGCTCTCATCCTGATGGCGCTCAGAGTACCTACCAGGAGGCTCCTGCAGTGCAGCCGTTGTATGGTGGGCCCACATGACATCCGGGCACAGAGCACAAGGGCAGCTGCGCAAAAGGGTTAGTGGGGTAATTTTTACCAAAACTGAGGGGGAGGATGGTGGAGCTACTACCATATTAAAGGGAAGGTGCTTGAGAAGGCTGATGTAGAGGCTTGGGTGTGGGAGAACGTGTGCACAGGTCTATCCCTTCCTGGAAAAATATGAGGTTGGCTCCCAAATTTATTTTAATACTGACATATTTTGCTCAGAAAGTTTGACATGTCAGGCCAGACAGTGTTTTGGGGAAGGGCACTCATTCTAAGGAAGGTGGGCTTTGGAGATGATTTCAGGGTTGGAGGGGATTAGTTGACCTGTTCAGGTAGTCTACTGAATCTGGGGAATGTAGGAAGCCATCTTGCACCAAATCAGACCATTGGTCCATGTAGCTTGGTCTATCTGCACCGATGGTTGGCTGTTCTCCAGGGTCTAAGATGGCTGTCTCTCCCAACACTAGTTGGGAATGCCTGGGCCCTTTACAGAAAGGAGGTGGCAGGAGGTGAATGTGCATGGAGGTTGTGTAATTTCCCTACTTTTATTACAGAAAAAGAAGCAGCACCTTCAGAGAAAGAAGCCAAAGGTAGGCAAGTTCCTGTTACTTGCAGAATTTAATAATCTTTAATTTACAGCTTCAAGTCTGGACTTGCAGTCACAGTCCTACTTATAGCAATGTTTTTCTTTTCCGCAGACCTGGTCCTTTTAAATACAGTTTGAAAAGCAATAGACTTTGTTCTTGCACCACCTGGTTAATTTTGCTTTTTCAGTTTTGATTTCTCTCCCATCTCCCCATCGTTCTCCCCCACTGGGAGCATGATGCCTTTTAGGAAGGATAAGTACTGAATTCCCCTCAGGAATGGAAGAAGTGGTTCTGAATCTAAAGCAGTGGTTCTGAATCTTTGGTTCACCAGATGTCTGGGACTTCAATTCTCCTCAGAACCCTCAGCCAGCATGGCCATGATTAGAAATCATGGAAGTCAAAATCCATTCTCTGGAAGGATAAAGATTGAGACCTACTGATTGAACAAATTGTTAAAAAAAATCTGTTTGCTTATTTGTTTATCAGCGGTTGATCACATGAATCCTCTTCCTATAATCTTATGTTGTTTTGGAAGATATAATAATTACATGTAGATACAACAATTGTTACAAATGTCTGTAATCGTACAGAGCAATCGTATACATGCTACTCGTATATAAGCCGCATTGAGTTCAATGAGATTTATTCCTAGGTAGGCATGTATAGTATTGCAGCTTCAATAACCAATCATGTGAAGTTTAGCAAGAAGCTACCAGTTGTATCCAACGTAGAGCTTTATATGCCTCAAAGACAAAAAATTAAATAGGTTTACCATGAAAATGCACAATTAACAACACAAATGGACTCTTACGCAAAAATAATGTATACCAATAGCCTTTCACCAGTGGGTAACACATTCTTTTTGTTCAGACTATTCCTTGTTGAAGTACAGCATCCACCTCCTGGAAAAGATGTAGATGGCACATAATCTGGCGATACATAGCACAAAGCATATTCGTGCCTCGTAACTTAGTCTTGCAGTGGTGTTCATCTTTAAATCTGAAGGCTTTATTGGTGGGGAGATGGAGCATTTACAGTTATTTATCTTGATGTAATGGAGAATTTATTTGGTATAATACTCTGTAGTCTTGTGCTGCAACCATGTCCAAGACGCACTTGTTTGGGAAGGGCTTTTCATACTCATTTTACCTGTAATAATGATGGAAGCTCTGTACCTCATACTTAGTGCTTTCGTATGACTCTGCCTTTGCTTTCTCAAGTCCCAAGAGCCCGTTTTGACTGGCGAGATGCTTTACAACTGGAGAGGCTCCTCACTCAGGAGGAAATAATGATCCGGGATTCATTTCGTACCTATTGCCAGGAAAAACTGATGCCTAGGATCCTCATGGCCAATCGAAATGAAGGTATGCTTTGAAATAAGTTACTGCACACTTTTAGCATGGTACTTTGTGCCATGAGAATTGGTGCAAAGTACAGAGTCCTCACTAGATCTGTGTGATGTCCTGTTTTCTCCTTGGCACATGCTCTATGCGCCGGTGGATTTAATAACTAACAACAATGTTATTTATTTAATGCCTTGATTCTGCAGGGCAGTAAATTGAGGTTTTCTGCTGTGTATCTTGAATCAGTATTTGTGCGCGCGCGCGTGTGTGTGTGCATGCCATGTAAATCAAGTAGATTTCAAAATTGCAGAACCCAAATTGTTTTTTTACTAGGCTACATTTAGTTTTAGTCACAGTTAGAGTAGACCCAGGTGAAATCAATGGGACTTCTGTTAATGTTGAATGACAACCCACATTCATTTAAATATGTCGGTTCTAGCTGGGACTGAAATTAGATTTAACCTTGCAACCCGGGTTCACTGACCTGAATCAGGTGCAAAACAGGTGCAGGATGGAAGAGACATACACTAAGAATTAAGGAGCAACTTGCCTTTTTGCTTTCAGCACCATAAATTAGTTTACACAGCACAATCTAGTTCTGACTCTCTTTATTTTAATACAGTGGGGTCTTGACTTGAGAACTTAATCCGTATTGGAAGGTGGTTCTCAAGTCAAAAAGTTCTCAAGTCAAATCTGCATTTCCCATAGGAATGCATTGAAAACCATTTGATCCGTATCTGCTCTTTTCCGTCCATAGAAACTAATGGGAAGCTGCTATTCCGCCTTCAACCAATAGAGGGGGATATTTTGTTTCCTTTTTTTCTTAGGTCAAGAAAGGTTCAGGGAAGGCAGGGAAAATACAGTCCAAGCAGTACAGTACCAGGCAGTCCGAAGACTGTCTCCCAATCCACTCTCTAAACGCTGGGAGGAGTGAGGAAGCAGACAGGCACCCTTTTCATTGGCCAACAGTTAACTGAAAGTTCAAATTTTGCACTTTCCCTGCCTCCCACGTGTTTTTTTTTCAGTTCTTAACTCAAATCTAAGTACTTAAGTCAAGTCAATATTTTCCTATGAGAGCAGTTCTTAAGTCAAAATGTTCTTAACTCAAGCCGTTCTTAAGTCAAGACCCCACTGTAACCTAATTTAGGGGCTTATTGTGGCCATTATTATTACTCCAACAGGAGTCAGCACTCTCTTTGCTAATCTATTACGAAAGCTCAAGAGGTCTACTGGTAGGTCACAATCCCTGTTTATCTTCTGTCTGTCCCACCCACTAACCATGACGTACCAGAACTCTGCAGAACAGAAGGGCAGAATGTTCACAGCAGGTTTTGCCTGTGGTTTTGTTACCTACCTGCGTCCTTTACATTTATTAATTTCTTTTTTCCTTTGCAGTCTTTCACCGGGAAATAGTGTCAGAAATGGGGGCATTGGGAGTCTTGGGCCCTACGATCAAAGGTAATGATGCAATATTCTTCATCTTCAAGTTGGCTTACCAGCTTATTAATTAGAAATGAATGGGAAAGCATAAAATCAGTGCCCTTGTAAAGATTTATCACTGGATCTATTTAAACTGATTCAGATTCCACCTTCCTGTTGTATTCATGCTACATAGACAGGTTGTAAAATGACCAAGAAGATGCCAGGATATGTTCTAGAGTTTTTTGGTTTAGAGTACAGTGGTGCCTCGCTTAACGAGTGCACCGTACAACGACGAATCCGCATAGCGATCCCCTTTTCGGGATCACTAATGCGGAGGCGTAGCATCGGTCCCTATGGCAAAAACTCGCATAACGATGATCGGTAAGCGTTTCGCTTACCGATCCTTGCTTTGCGATGCCCGCAGATCAGCTGTTTGGCAGTTCTAAAATGGCCGCCGGATGCCCGAAATGGCCGCGCACAGCGTTTTCACGCCCTCCCCTCGCTTACCGAGGGCGCGAAAATGGCTGCCGCTATGGAGGAAACTTCGCTGAACGGTAAGTTTAGGGCCCATTGGAATGCATTAAACATCGTTTAATGCGTTCCAGTGGGTTTTTATGTTCCGTTTAGTGATGTTTTCACATAGCGAGGGTTAATCCGGAATGGATTAACCTCGCTATGTGAGGCACCACTGTACAAAGCGCTTCTTTTCTAAATGTCATTCAGATTGATGGTGGCATAATAAATTAGCAACTCACTTTGGGAAGTTCCATAACACACCTAATATGTTGCTCAGTTGTTTCGTTGTATAGATTGTTCGTATCTCTTCATGTCAATAATAGATTTTTTAAAATGTATACTTTAAAGACAGAATCCTCTTTAATTTTTCTTGTGTGCACGGTAGTCAGCTGCATACACAGCTGTTCTTCCTTCGTGTTCATGCAGAGGTGTGTTCAGTCATCTGCAGTCACATGTGTGTTGTGTGAGTCCATGGGCCTGCTGCTTATGGTGCAGGATTGAATACCACATCTTCCTGAGAGAGAGTATCTTAAGTTATATTTGACCTTTTATAATGCTATAAAATATAAGTGCAGAACATTTGAAGAACTGTCCTTATGATGTGATCCAGTTGTGCCCCTGTTGATATGATGGAGGTGGAGATTTATCATCTTGAATACATTTTATTTGACGTTGATGTTTTGTTACGAACTGGGAGCTGCCCCCTTGGAGTGGGCTCCTTTGCTGAGTGTCAGCATCTGTTTCTCTTAGGTTATGGCTGTGCAGGAACTACCTACGTGGCCTACGGACTCCTAGCAAGGGAGATTGAGAAGGTGGACAGCAGCTATCGTTCAGTCATGAGTGTTCAGTCATCTTTGGTAATGCACCCGATATATGCATATGGGACGGAGGAGCAGAAGCAGAAATACCTGCCACGCCTGGGTGAGTGAACAGGTTTGAGAAGTATAATGTGAAGACGAGGGTTTGTCCACATCACTAGGGTGGCTTGAGGTTGGGTGTTTTTTTTTTTTGCCACCATTATTATTCAGGTAAATTAAATTGCTGCATCACTAAATTGCTACATTACTTACTGCATCAGTAAATCACTACATTATTAATATTGTTCAGTCTTCTTTAAAAATAGAATTTTTTTAATAGAGTGAAGCTTAGTTATTTTTTATTTTACCTTAGTTATTTTTTATTCTACCTTGTTCTGCACCATGGAATTCAGGATGTCTCTAGTGGGGTTCCAAGGCAGTCTTCTGTTTAAGACCAGACCAGAACTGCTGAGCTTCAGCAGGTGACTACCTCATGTGCCCTCAACTCATATTCAGTCATAATAAAAAGCTAGCAATATAGTGAAGAGAATAATGAAAACAGCTGAACGTTCTGAGTTTATTTCCCATATCAATACAAGTTAAAAAAGACCACAGTACCCTACAAATCCATCAATTGTCCTTCTATCTCTCTGATTCTAATGTAAGAGCTTAATCATCACAGCTATTTTCCAGTCGTCATACTCCTTCCAACCTGGGAAGGAGCATGATGATTAACCTCTTTCAAGATCATTCCTCCTGTCAGGACTGGGCTGAGGAAGAGATTAACTCATTCCTGGATGGCTCCTTCTCCACAGTCCAGAATGGACCTTCACAGAGATAAACCAATGTCCCATTTTCATTACTTTTCTACTGGAGCATCTGTGCACTGAGCAGAGAACGGTTTCCCCCTTTCCTTTAACAACCTCCATCTTCAAGATACTTTAGTATAAGCCATTAGGGGCTGCAGTCTGCCAATACCCCTGGCTTCTGCCACTTACGTTAAACTTAAAGATCCTTTAAGTTTCTTGTCTGCCCTTTTTGAATTTTTTTAAAACATTTTTTTTAATTTACAAACATCCATGCTTCTGTGTACCCTAGGAGTTTGTCACAGTCTGCCAATACCCCTGGCTTCTGCCACCTATGTTAAATTTAAACATCCTGGAAATGAACTCTTTCTTGTCTGTCCTTTTTGAAGTTTTTCTTAAACAATTTTTTTTAAATTTACAAACATCCATGCTTCTGTGTACCCTAGGAGTTTGTCAATCTGTCCACTTAGTTTACTTTTCTGCTTTCTGACCATTTGGTTCCTTCAAATATTTTCAACTAATGCAATAATTGTTTCTTACTCTCAAAAGGGGACTTGCTTGAGACCCTCTAAAGCAGTGGTTCCCAACCTTGTGCCTCCAGATGTTCTTGGACTACAGCTCCCAGAAGCCTTCACCACCACCTCTGCTGGCCAGGGTTTCTGGGAGTTGAAGTCCAAGAACAGCTGGAGGCCCAAGGTTGGGGACCACTGCTCTAAAGGACCCCTGAGAGTCAAGAAGAGTTTCCTTACAATGACAGACCACTCGGTCCACAAGAGATCCTCTGGAAACTGTTCTAGTGAAGTGACAAGGCTTGACTGCAGGGAAGGAGAAGGGGGCGCTTTGGCAGCAGCAGCTGGAGGAGCAGCTCATTGTCTTTTTTTCTTTCTTTTTGCTCACAGCCAAAGGAGAGATAATTGGCTGTTTTGGGCTAACAGAGCCTAACCATGGCAGTGATCCTGGTAGCATGGAAACTCGGGCCCACTACAGTCCCTCCAAAAAGACGTACACACTCAATGGCACCAAAACCTGGTAAGATCTGCTGTTGTATTTCTGCCCAAGAACATGGACAGGGCAGGTAGGAAATGGCAGACAAGGGCCAGAAGCCAGTCCTTTTGGCAAGGGCTTAGACAGATCTGCCTTCAGTTAGCTGGCTTATGGCACAGGGTTTCTTTGGGAGGGCTCAGTATCCGCTCAGCCTCTGTTACCCACCCTGGAATTTTTACTGTTTTACTTTCCACATCCAGTGGACCTGGTTTGCAGTTTAGGAGATCAGAATTGGTTGACATTCCCTCAGCTGTGTCCTGGGTGGTATGCCACATGTCTGGCTTTTTTCAGGATCACCAATTCTCCAGTGGCTGATATATGTGTAGTGTGGGCTGTATGTGAAGATGGTAAAGTGCGTGGTTTCCTTTTGGAACGTGGAATGAAAGGTCTCTCCACGCCGAAGATTGAGGGGAAATTTTCATTGCGAGCTTCTATCACTGGGATGATCGTAATGGAGGACGTGGAGGTGCCTGAAGAGAACCTTCTGCCCAAAGTGTCTGGATTGGCTGTAAGTTCCTTTCTACTCATACATAACGAGATGGAGGGCCCTAATTTGCCACCAGGGAACATTGTGACGGCTGGGTAGTGTTATTTCAGTCCGGGCTCTCCTTATTTCTAGACTCTTTAACCACAGGTGGACATTCTGTGTTCTCCTTACCTTGGGATCATTTAACTAGAGCTAAGCACTCAATCCTGTAGAAGTGTGAAAGTTGCATTGTAGCAATAAATGTTAAAATATATGCAACTTCAGAAATTATAAAAATATTTACTGTACCTTTGTTTTCAGTATCCACATGTGGACATTCTCGCATGTGACGGTCCTCAGCCACCCTGTCTCAGGACCTAATCAGTAGGAATCCCAGACAGAAATATTTCCAGCTGTCGAAAAACTTCTTATTGCTGCCACCACCTCTCTTTTTTTTAGTTATTCAGTAAAATAACCAAATGGACAAGGTCTGGATATCAGGACCGCACCATCTCCTTTACCTTGTAGACCAGGCTTACTGGTTTTATAAATTTTGGACAGAGTTTTGAATTTCTTCCCAATTTTTTTTGTGTCTATCACAGCTGTCGATAAAAGGTGCCAAGAGTTTTCCACCTTTCGTCTCGAAAAGTTTAAGTCAGTAGCTGATTTTAGTAGATTAAATAAGTGAAGAAGGCTATCTGAATCAGACTTTGAAATGGGGATGGTTTTCAGCCTTCTTACTTTCTTCTGCCTTCTGGGCAAACCAGTTTGGTTTGAGGCTGTTTGGTTGGTAGCGTTGTGTTGCCACACACAAAATCAAGTAAAAACACCTCAACACATCCCATTCCTATGTCGTGTGTGCCTCCAGCACTGCCCTTTGCTGAATCTGACACAGGTTCTTATCTCGTGGCAAAATCGAGAGAATCCTTGTACAGTAATTTATTATCTGACGTTTTAATGCCATCCTCTTCTGACAGGGTCCATTTGGCTGCCTAAACAATGCTCGCTATGGCATCTCATGGGGAGCCCTGGGAGCTGCTGAATTCTGTATGGAGACAGCCAGGCAATACACTCTGGATAGGTAATGAATGCACAACACAAAACAGCACATATATAGCAACAGAAATATTTATTGGATTGCTTTTAAAAAATCCTTAATATTTCATTTTGACTACAATCCAGGAATGGTGGACGGTGTAATTATCCCCTTGCTCCCTGTGGGCAGTGCTTCATTTAAAGCAGAGATGGGCGAGCCCTCCCAATGTTGCTGCAGTGCTGCAACTCCTGTTGCCTTAATCAGCATAACGAATAGGATCCTGGATTGAAGTCCAACAATAATCTGAGGGCCACAGTTGGCCACACTTTGCTTAAACCAGATGTGGGCAAAATGAGGCCTGAGATTGCATGTGGTCCCCAAGGGCAGTTTTGCAAACCTGCGGGGGCCCTCTGTGTTTAGAGCCCCCCCAGACACACACACACACACACACCAGTTTTCACTGTTGACAGGTTGGAATGGATCCCCAAGGTCCTCTCAAACTCCAAAATCAAAGCCAATTGGATTGTTTCCAGGCCTAGTGTGGCCTGTGCGGGGTGTTGACAATAAAAATCTTGCCCTCAAGCCCTCCATTAGTTCCTCATCTTTGATTAAAAGCAATGTGTGTCCCTGACAAAGGTGTGATGTGCAGTGGGGATTTGCATCTGATAGGCTTGAACAGTACGCGAGGCCAGTTTAGTTCAGGAGGCATTGAGAGTGATGTCAGTGAGACAGTAAAGGATTAAATATGCTCCTGTGCATTCTGCTATCTATTTTATGCCCCTGGAACCAGAGGCTTTATGTGGGTCACTTAACACTTATGTGCAGGATTCTGCCTAACATTGGCAGAATTTTTGTGGTGATCTTGCAAAGAGGATATAAAGACTTGCAAACCATCAAAAGCATTGCATGTGCTGGGACTGCCTTCATCAGTCTCTTATGCTTGTTCCTGTCCTTGCTGATACAATCTTTATCTGATAGGATTGCCTGCCTTTGTCTTGAGTTTTGTGCAGCTGGCTTGTGCCTCAGGGACTTATCCTCCATTTCAGACTGCATTCTTCTACCTCACTTAAACTATACTGTTGGATCCCATTAGCCCTTGAGATAGCAAGGCAGTGAGGCTCATCTCTAAATATCAAATTTCCATACATTTCATATGTATTTCCCATTAGGCCAGGACTGGAGAATTTGTGGCCTTCCAGATGTATCTGTTAAATTCTGGTAATGTGAGCACTACTTAGCCTGGCTAGTGGAGAAAAATAAGGGAAGCAGTAGTTCCTCAGTTCCTGGAGAGTCAAAGGTTCCCACCTTCTGCCCTGAATATTCAGTAGCTAGCAGTTTTCCTAATTGTAACTGGAGGCTTACTCAGAACCTTTAGCAGCTGTATCTAAGACTGAGGTTTTGGTGTACAGGAAGGCAGGAGAGTTGCCATCCTTTCTTCCTTGTTGCAGTTTTAATAGAAGAAACGATTGCCATCCTTTCTTCCTTGTTGCAGTTTTAGTAGAAGAAACTATGTTAGTCTGTGCAAGCATATCAGGCAAAACCCAAACAGGAAAAAATTAAAAATAGCCATCCTTTCTTCCTTGTTGCAGTTTTAGTAGAAGAAACTATGTTAGTCTGTGCAAGCATATCAGGCAAAACCCAAAGGGGAAAAAATTAAAAATAAACAACTGGATAGACAGAAACCCCATGGTACCTTAAAAACTAACTGTTATATTTCAATGTGAGTTTTTGTGGACTTTGAGGTGCTATGGGTTTTTTGTCTCTTTTTTTAAAAATTCCTTTGGGTTTTGCCTGTTCCTTCAGTATCATCTATGTGCAGTTGTGTGTGTGTGTGTGTACCTACGTGCAACCAAATGGCATGATGTAGTTAAATGGTTGAACGTCCCTGTTAGTACACGGGCTTGCTTTATCTCACCAACCAATAGTATCTCCTAGGACCCAGTTCAAAGTCCCCTTGGCAAGAAACCAGCTAATCCAGAAGAAGCTGGCTGACATGCTCACCGAGATCACTATTGGCTTACAAGCTTGTCTACAGCTGGGCCGCCTCAAAGATGAAGATAAGTAAGTGTGTCTTTCCAGACTGAGCTTCTTACTCCTATGAGAGTTGGTGGCGGGCTTGAATTCCACTGGTAGCAAATGACCTTTCTCCTTCCAAGTCCATTATAACATCTGCCTTGGTGTTCCCAGGGCCACCCCTGAGATGATCTCCATGCTAAAACGGAATTCCTGTGGGAAAGCCCTAGAGATTGCCCGGCAAGCCCGTGACATGCTGGGGGGCAATGGAATTGCCGATGAGTACCATGTTATCAGGCATGTCATGAACCTGGAGGCTGTCAACACGTATGAAGGTAAAATAATTTTCTTGCTCCTCTAGGAAGCTCACTTTTGGAGAAAAACTGCATTTTTGTGTCAGTAACTTGGGATTATGACATGGTCATCAAGGACCTGGAAAAAAAATTGCATAAGGGGAGCAGTTGCATAAGGGGAGCAGTTGCACTCATACTTCATTCAGTGCATAAGAGATTTCCCAAGCCATACACTGCCATGCTAATCTGCCTACCTGTGTTGTGGATTCACAGCAACAATGGGGCCCGAGTGTAGATGTGAGCACTGCAGGATACCAAGCATTTCTCATTTGCTTTTTTTTTCTAATGAAAAGGGTTTGATCAAGGGTGTAGATGGGACAATGTTGCCATATTTCTGGTACCGCATCAGCTGTTTTAGGCTAAAAGGGAGTTTTTTTAAATACAGTAGTGCCTCGCTTAACGACGATAATCCGTTCCAGGAAAATCGCCGTTAAGCGAAAACATCTTAAAACAAAATAAAAAAACCCATTGAAACGCATTGAAACCCATTCAGTGTGTTCCAGTGGGGTAAAAACTCACCGTCCAGCAAAGATCCTCCATACGGCGGCCATTTTCGCTGCCTGTATAGCGAGGAATCTCTCCCTAAACACAGCGGGGAGCCATTTTAATTACCTGGTGGCCATTTTGAAACTGCTGATCAGCTGTTCTAAAAACATCATTTTGCGAAGAATTGGTTCCTGAAGCAGGGAACCGATCATCGCAAAGTGAAATTCCCCCATTTAGACCATCGTTTTGCAATCGCAATTGCGATTGCAAAAAGATCGTCGTAAAGCGGATTCATCGTAATGCAGGGCAATCGTTAAGTGAGGCACCACTGCACACTAGAATATTCAGTTAGAATAGCATAGGAGCAACAAAATTGATGAAGCTGCTCCCTGTGGCCACTAGAGAGTGTGAGGAGGCTTCTTCAAATTTTGTAAAAGAAAAAAATATTTTGGAGGGCAGTACAGGCACTCCTCACTTAATAATCTAACCATTTAAAGATGGCTCAGATTTATGACTTCCTGGCAAGAAACTAGCTAATCCAGAAGAAGCTGGCTGACATCCTCACAGACCTCACTATTGCCTTACAAGCTTGTCTACAGCTGAGCCACGTGCATTTTCACCATGTCCCTTCTTGACAGCGTGTGACGTATTACTCCCGTATTGTTTATTGACCAATTCGCTTAATGACCTAGTTGTAAGAATGGAACGTGGTCATTATGTGAGGAGCGCCTGTAGTCCTAGGAGCAGGTATGGCCATTTATGACCCGGGGTTGGAAATGTTGGCTCCCAGAAGTCTAAAGGATCTTAGGCTATGTACCCTTTCTAACATTACCCCAGTAGCTGTCATGTTACTGGGGAGAGGTTCTTTTCTACACCCACCTCAGATACCCAAAACCACATGGGAAGAGTCTATGGCAGAGTTGTTTCTTATGCTACAGAAACTTTGAGAAGTTTCTGTAGAGGTAGTTGTGTTAAGTCTGTTTCAGTGAATGCAGAAACGAAACAAAAAAGGTACTGTGGTTGCATTCCTATTCCCATACCATGTACACCATGTGTAACCTTGTGATGCATATATTGCTTTCTATCTGCCTGAGGAAGAGGATTGTAAATAGACACATGCTGAAATAAAGCTGATGGCCACAGTGCTTTTGGTTTTGGTTCTTTCTATTTGAGAAGAACATTGCTAACATGGGAAGAAGCCATATTGTAGATTCTAACTTCCTGTTCTGATGTTAACCTAGCAGCATGAGAATGAATTGCAAGTGTTTGTGTATACCACAGTGTACTGTAAACTGGAGTGTACACACAGACAAAAGAAGATTGCTGCATCACATTGTTTTTCCTGCCTGATCAATTGTGTAGGAATATCCGGTGGCCCTCGACATATACTTTCTTAGTGCTCTTTCTGTTAGGGTACAGCCATCCAGTTCTCAAATGGCATAAGTGGCAAAATGCTGTTGAGACAACCAGAAATTCTCAGACTACAATCTAGAGCCGTTACCACTAATGAGATACTTTCAACTGACTTAATAGTACTGTTTATCAGTCCTCATAGATATAAATAAATGGTGCCTGGGTCATTATTTTTGTCATAACCAATATTTCTGAATCCAGCTGAAGTAAGACAACATTGATCAATTGCTTTGTATGTATCCTTTAGTTGATTCACATACGTACATTTTAAATATTTTAAATACATCATTCTGATAAGCAATTTCTTTCTCCCTGTGTTTTGCCATCAGGAACCCACGACATTCACGCCCTCATCTTAGGCAGAGCTATTACCGGACTTCAAGCTTTCACTGTCGGCAACTGAATACATTTTTGCAAGGTTCATCTTCATGCTAATGGCTCCATCATGGGAACATCCATGGAAATGGTCTAAGATGTTGCAATGGTTTTAAAAGCTGAGCAGGACTGCCAGGGCTGTTGCTGATCAGAATCTGATCAAATTTATTTCTAAAGCTCAGCTCAAATATTTGTAGCTAATCTGAAACAATACCAAAGTCAGGTATTTACAGATTCTCAGTTCTTAAAAGAGACAGCAGAAAGAGAAAGCGTTATAATGTTGCCCTGTGGCAAAGGGAGACACCATTATGGCTGTTGACTGTGTTTGTTGTGTGTGTGGTAAGTAGGTAGCAGACAAGGGCGCAGGAGCAGGGGATGGCAAATGGTGGAGGAAAATTCAAAGTTCAGGAGTTGCCAAATCATACACGAGACAAGCTGTTTTAGGGTAGAAGTACTGGGAGTTGATCTCTCCCAGTCAAATTTTAGGACAACCTTTTTGCAGCTGCAAGATCCAACTACTTGGGCAACAATTTTGGCTGTTGTGGGGCCCACAACATTGTTATGTGAATAATTTGTCCTTCAGGAAGTTTTGAAAAAGAAAGGGCTTGTATTGGAGCCCTGCAGTATTGCCAAGCATTAAAAGCAGGAAATCAAAACATACTGCCCTGTCAACCATCTTCCTGCCGTGTGACCTTGAAGAAGCTGCTGTCTTTTAGTGCCTTGTCTAAATTGTACAAATCTTATTGAATATTTGGGAATGTATTTTGATGAAGTGGTAAATTTGTCACGGATAAACTTGTTTGTGGTCATGTTTCTTTCCACATCTTAAAGAAAAAATTAAATACGATAGATTTTCCACAGTAAACAGATTTATGCAATGGTCTGGCCAGCTGAAGACCAAACATTCTAGTTTTACTAGATGAAAGTACAACTGAGTTGTATTATTTCAGGGTTACTGTAATGCACAAGAGAGTACTATAATCGACAAAGCAAAGGGTTTTGCTTTAAAAAAAATCTCCAGCTTTAAATTTTCTCAAGCACATTCAGGAACTCAGCTTTTTTTCAGTAAATTTGAACCTTCATCTTGAGCCCCTGTGGCTTCCCCTGTGATTTATCTTTTAGGATAACATGTTGAAATGGGTGTGACTCCTATATCTGTGTTTATCCTACATGTGGCTTTTAAACATTAACCTGAGTGGGACTTGTTTTTCTGTAAGCAACTTATTTACATCTTAAAGGTAAAGGTTCCCCTTGACAGTTTGTCCAGTCGTGTCCGACTCTAGGCGGCGGTGCTCATCTCTGTTTCCAACCCATAGAGCTAGCGTTTGTCCGCAGACAATCCTCCGTGGTCACGTGGCCAGCGTGACTAGACACGGAACGCCGTTACCTGTGGTAAGTTTCTGTGCTGCAAGGTCAGAAGACCTGCAGTCGTAAGATAGAATCCACGCAATGGAGTGAGCCCCCGTCGATTGTCCCAACTCCCGCCAACCTAGTGGTTCGAAAGCATTTACATCTAAGGTACCATTAAAATAACCAAATTATATGGCCAGCCTCAGGCACAAGGATGTAGATAAGTCACTTTGCCAGTATTTCAGAAACCACTGTCATGATACATATGAAAGAACACTTTAATCAAAACAGTATAGTCCAGTTTTTGGCTCTTATATTTTTTTTCCCATCTGTAGCTTGAGAATTCTAGAAGTGGTGAAAGGGGAGGTGATAGTAGCCCCGCCAAAATGCATACATGTGGTTTAAGGTAATTCCACAATTGAGGCAGCTTTTACATCAGATAAAAATAAAACAATGATTCCCCACAACATTTGATATAGAGCTACTTACTCCTGCAGTATCCAGCATAAGAAAATGTAAAGTAATGCACACTGGGGCAAAAAATCAAAACGTTAGTTATCAGCTGTCCATGACAGATCAGGAAGGAGATTTTGGTGTGCTGGTGGACAGTTCGATAAAAGTTTCAACCCAGTGTGCGGTGGCAGTGAAGGCCAATTCTATGCTAGGTATCATTAAAAAGAGGGTTGAAAATAAAACAGCCAACATTATAATGCCATTGTACACAACACTGCTAAGGCCACATCTGGACTATTGCATACAGTTCTGCTTGCCACACCTAAAAAAATCCATAGTGGAACTGGAAAAGGTGCAGAAAAGCACGACTGAAATGATAACTGGGCTGGGGCACCTCCCTTATTAGGAAAGCCTACAGCATCTGGGGCTCTTTAGTGAAAAGGCACCTGAGGGGGACATGATTGAGACATAAAATTATGCAGGGGATGGATAAAGTGGATAGACAGCTCTTTTCCCTCTCACCCAATTCCAAAACCAGGGGACATCCACTCAAATTGGGTGTTGAGAGAGTGAGAACTGACAAAAGAAAATATTTCTTTACCTAGCGTGTTTTTAGTCTGTGGATCTCCTTGCCATGGGATGTGGTTACAGGATCTGGCCTAGATGCCTTTAAAAGTGGATTGGATGGATTTCTGGAGGAAACATCCATTGCAGGTTACAAGCCATGATGGGGATGTATAATCTCCAGGTTTAAAAGGAATGTACCTCAGAATGCCAGATGCATGGGAGTGGTCTCAGGAGACGGGTATCTAGTCATCTCGTGTGGTCCCAGAGGCAGGGAGCTGGACTAGATGGGCCCTTGGCCTGACTGATCCAGCAGGCCTCTTCTTATGTTCTTATGTTTTATAAACTGCTAATGCAATCATCATCAGCTGTTACTGCTTTATTAATTTGATTGTGTGTTTTTATTCAAGTTATTTTACTGTGAGCCACGCTTGATATTTCTATTTGAAAAGCAGCATATTTTGAAGAAAATAATGTTGTAAAGCACGTTTCATGAGAGTCACAAAGGGCTGGTGATATTAACAATACATGGGCACAGCATGGTTTACTACACAATTCGCTACTTAGATCACCTTTGTTGAGTGACACTTTATACATAAACATGCTTTCTGTTTTACTAGCAAATATGCCTGTTGAGTCTCATACTCAGCCCAATGACTCCTATCCTATCCCTGTTTTTTTCACACTGGCCTATTTCTCATTGTGTCCACTGTGTTATTTATTCAGCTTGTACCAGAGTTGGAAACCCGTTTTTACCCTTTAACCCCACCCCAGATTCATTTCACTGAATGAACATATGCTGTATGCAAATAAGAGTTTCAGGAGGTTTGGAGATCTTTTGGGGTATTAACTAGAATCTCTCAAAGGTAACCTGATCTTTTATTTGAGTACGGAAATTGGTACATGGTAGATAACAGCATTTTGGTTTCTACGACAAGTACAACTAGTAAGACCTCCCAGCCCACATAACCTATTCAAATACAGTCTTGGATCATTTTGAGGTAAGAGGATCACAGTTCCAAGAAGCCATGGAAGTTACTGTATTTGTTTAGATGTCAACTTCCAGCCTTTCTGGGGAAAACGGAACGACTGCAGTTGTTTCAGCTGGGAAATCAGAATCTATGCAAAGGATTCATGTTCCTGTGTTCATTTTCAGTAGGTAAGAGCCAGAATCTCAAATCCCACCAGGGCCATTTGAACTGTGAACTACCCATTTATTTAGGTTGGAGCATCAAGTAGCATTCACACAGAATTTTGTTTCTCGCTCTTAACAATTTGCACATTTGCCTGTTGTGGTAGAGGGCAACAACTCAGAATCCCCCTACTACCATGGCCAGCTGAGATGCAGCACAAGTTTTGGGACCTCATAATCTGTGAAACATTTCTGGATGTTACATCTGACTAAGTCACTCACAGGAACACAATTCCCATACTGTAATCCACTGGTGCTTAACTTTTGTTATTCAGATGTTTTTGGACTGCAACTCCCAGAAGCCTTCACCATCAGCTCTGCTGGCTGAGGTTTCTGGGAGTTGCAGTTCAAAAACACCTGAGTAACAAAGGTTAAGAACCACTGCTGGAATCCCTTTGCCCACACAGCTAGTTATTTAAATTGGGGCCTTGGTAATCCCATTACAGAGATCTTACTGGACAAAAAACCCATGAACTTTTTGCTGAATTTATAAGATTAATAACAGCTGCTGTTACACACAGTTGTGCAAAATTTCTATACTCCATCCAATTTAGTGTAATTCAAGTATGATCATCTTATTTACAGGCCAATGCAAAATGCATAATTTAAATAAGCTATTAATTGCTATGTATGTGGACTCAGTCCTTTTGGACAGGCCCATGTTTACTGTTAAAATCACTGAGGAAGTTCTCCATCAGCAGTGGTTCTGTATAATAGTAACCCAATCTTCAACACCAGAAATAAATAACAATTAAATAAATATGAAAGTGCAATTAGGAAATCAAATTTTAGTGCAATAGTTGGAATCCATACTTCAACTGAAATGAAGATCCTAAAATTCTGCTTAATATTCCTGTTTAATATCCTATGGATGTTCTCTGTATACATTAATATTTAACCAGAAATTATGTTGCTAAAAGCTAATGCCAATGATGTCTTCAGCCATGACAGTTTTCTAAATAAAAATGTCCAACTTCTCCCCTAAAGGTCCCAAGGTCCCTCTGGAATTCCTTTCATCATCAGCAAGCCTGGCAGGGCAGGAATTGGGCAGAACACAAACAACTACAACCTAATGAGAAACTACACAGTACCCTAATCATACCACCTTTGAACAGTCATCCTTCCACAGTCACACACTCAATCATAATGGGGTTTAAAACAACACTTCACCAAAGCTTAGCAAACTAAACTAAGCAAGAGAAAAGAAGAAGAATACTGAAGAACACAAAATGCTATCTAACTAGGGACATAGCAAACTAAACTAAGCAAGAGAAAAGAATACTAAAGAACACAAAATACTGTCTAACTAGGGGCACAATTCTCTTGAAAGAGCAACAGGAAGGGAACAGGTACTACACAGAAACCTCAGTCAGTGCCTACCCTAGCACTCTGGCTGAGGGAGTGTCTTAGGCTTTATTGAGAATAAAGTTGTCTTCTGTTGTGCCTGCAGCTTAGTCTACTGTATTACTTTTAAGATCTCCTTCGCCTTCACCACCAGCTGTCCTGACTGGGGTTTCTGGGAGTTGCAGTTCAAAAGCATCCGAGTAACAAAGGTTAAGAACCACTGGTCTACTGTATTACTTTTAAGTTCTCCTTTCCTCAGTTCAAATCACTGATTTCTTCTGAATCTTACAAATAGTATACAGAGGATCCACTATGGTTTTGCTCCATCCTAAAGGTAATCAGTGCTTTCTTGCTCCCAAATTACACAAATGCTCCTGATTTGGTCCATCTTTTCTCATTTGTCCAAAGACAGTTCACATGCCTATTTGATATAATTATGTACAGAATTTAATACTGTTTTAATATTTGGTATACAACATGACAGCTTGCATCTGGAAATTTACAATTTGTGATATTTCATATTTGGTACCTATCAAGATCAATGAACAATGTTTTTTTTAAATTTTGAAGTAACACTTCACATTTTCAAAGTAAAAAATCTGAAACAATACTCAGCATTAGAAATATTTACCAAATTTCAATCAGTCCTCAATATTAATTTCCACTCTGAATAAGTACAAGCATGGTGGATTAATTGTTACTGAGTATCTTATATATCTTATAAAACCTAAACGTTGTGTCTTCTGTTCTTAGCATATAGATTCAGGTTTTGGTTTTTTGTATTTGTATTTGCTTTTGCTTTTCCTCTTCCTTTTCCTCTGCATGTAATCATAGTTCGGACTGACCACACAGATCTTTATATAACTTCTCCACAGTGTGACAGACTTGCTTGAGCTCAGTTTCAATCTGTCTGATCCTCTCCATGATATCAGAAAGCTCTTGGAGCTTATCCTGAATAATCTTGCTATTATGGTCATAAACATGAAAAACCTTTTCTTCCAACTTGTCTGCCAAGCTTGAAACCTGTTGGGGAGAAACAGAAATAAGCTGTGTAGTGTACTAGAAACCTATGAGGACTCCATATGGCCCTTCCAAGAAATTCCTGGCTTGTGCTGCTAATAATTTTCTCCTACAAAAAGTGGAAGAAAAAAATTAGAGGTGTAGCTATTCTTGACTTGATTCTTAGCAAGAGATGACTTGATTAAAGAAGTGGCAGTAAGAACTCTGTGTGAAAGTGACCATGTTTTACTTGAGATATTGAATTCAAAGGAAACAAAAGCAGAGTGGAACTGCACAAGTATGCTGGATTTTAGGAAAACCAGTTTTATTAAACTCAGAACAATAAGTTCCCATGGCAGGAGAATTTTTTAATTTTTATTTTCCTTATAAAGGTAGGGTAAGGTAAGCTGGGACGGGGACCCTCGGAGGGGGTGGATTTGAACAGATACATTACAAATCAATATTTTTCATAGCAATTTTATACATTCTCTTCTAGTAATAGTTCCACATATAAAGAAATATAAACAGTAAGCAAGAGGGAAAAATCAAATTCAGACAGATATATTATTCTAATTATTGATTATGTAGCTGACAGTCTTTATCCATCATTTATTCTGTCTCATCTGAAGCCATACAGATAACTATGTATCAGTACACTATTCTAAAGGGCCCTCAAAATTTGTCAATGAGTTGTCTTTATAATGGCTAGAATCCTATTGGTCTTCCTGTACGTTAGGTGTAATTTGCTGCAGCCAATCATCACACTGGGTCATGCCGTAGTTGCGCAATACAGCCTGTGATCAGGTAGACATCCTTTTTTTTTTTTTTTTTTTTTGCATCTAGCCAATCTGATAGTACGTCCATTTCTGCGGTTTCAAGGATTTTATCTATCACTTCATCTATCTGCGATGTTCAAGGTTCTTTCCAGTATTTCACAAAAACTATTCTTGCTGTTGTTATAATATGAATAGTTAAATGTGATTTTTCAGAGTCTAATATATCTGGGAAGATATTTAATAGGAATACCGTATTTCTGGTACCACTGGTGTTGAAGTTTCTAATATCTCTTGTAGCATCTGATTCACCTTACCCCAGTATCTTTGGGCATCTTTGCACATCCACCACATGTGATAAAATGTTCCTTCTTTCTGTTTACATTTCCAACATATATTTGAAATCTGGGTGCTTATTTTAGCCAGTGTTGTGGGGGGTCACGTACCATCTGTAGAACATTGGTATATATTCTCTTTAAATACAACAGATTTAGTTAATTTTATACAGTATTTGTTTTCCAAATTCGTTCCCATTGATCCAGTTCAATATTATGTCCTACATTCTGTGCCCACTTAATCATACATGCCTTTTTTACCACTTCATCTTGTGTTTCAAAATCTAACATAAAATTATATAATAACTTAATACATTTTCCCTCTGATTCCAGAAGAATTCTGTCAAAGGGGGTATTTTCTAAGTAAAAGCCCTATTGATTATCTGTAGCAAACCTTGATAATAATTGTGATCGCGCCCACCAATCTATTTCGATGCCTTGATCTACTAACTCTTGTTGAGTTTTGATAGAACCATCAAGATTTAAAACCTCACTATATCTTATCATTTTCTTGTTTTCTCTCAGATATGGTAGAGGAAATGCTTCAACTGGCATCACCCAGTGTGGTATTTTGATATACATTTGGTTTTTCACTTTATTCCACATCGACAGAAGTGCCTTCCTTAATATATGGTTGTTAAATTGTTTAAAATCCCCAGTCCTGTTAAGAATACCGGCCCTATTTCAAATGATATCCTTCTACAGTGGGGTCTCTACTTAAGAACTTAATCCGTATTGGAAGGTGGTTCTCAAGTTGAAAAGTTCTTATGTTGAATCTGCATTTCCCATAGGAATGCATTGAAAACCATTTAATCCGTATCTGCTCTTTTCCGTCCATAGAAACTACAGTGGAACCTCTACTTAAGAACTTAATCCGTTTTGGAATGGTGTTCTTAAATTGAAATGTTCTTAAGTTGAAGCAAAATTTCCCATAGGAATGGACTGAAAACCAATTAATCCGTTCTGGCTGTTTTTTTGTTATGTAGAGGTGCGTTCATACATTAACCAAAGCTGGTTAATACGTACTCTACCACTATGGGGAGAATTTTTTTTTAACCTAAGATGACCTAAGGTTAAAAAAAGAGCAGGAAAGGTCTTTTTTCCTGTTCTTATCTTGGATTTCTGTTCTCAAGTAGAAGCAAAATTTAGCAAATGGAGCTGTTCTTAAGTTGGATTGTTCTTAAGTAGAGACGTTCTTAAGTAGAGACTCCACTGTAATCTCAAGAGCCTCGTATTTTCCAATGTTATCCACCCCTTAATCCATACCAACGCAGATACCTTATAGTACAGAAGCCAATTAGAGAGCCCCATTTCAAATCATATCCTTCTAATTTCAAGAGCCTCGTATTTTCCAGTGTTATCCAGTCCTTAATCCATACCAATGCAGATGCCATGTAGTACAGAAGCCAATTCGGGAGCCCCATTCCTCCTCTTATTTTTAGGTCTTTTAAATGCTTGATTTTAATTCTGGGGTTTTCCCCCTGCCAGATGAATTTGGAAATGCATTTTTCAAGCTCCTTGAATATTGCTTGTTTTAAAATAATCAGGACTGTTTGGAAAAAGGAATATGAGTTTTGGTAGAATATCCATTTTGATTGTCACCGAGTTTTGGTAGAATATTCATTTTGATTGTCGCCCATCGTTTGTTTGTTTGTTTATTGTATTTATACTCCGCCTATCTGGTCAAATGACCATTCTAGGCCTCTAGACAATTGTTGACAATTATAAATCTGTCCAGCTAGAAAGGTCTTTCTTAATTTCCTCTATCAGTTTCAAATAATTCTCTTTCAGGAGACTACTTATTTTTTTATAAAAAATATGCACAAATATTTTACTTTCCTTCCTTCCTGGAAGTTTGTAATTTGTAATAGTTCATCGATCTCCTGTTTTTGAATGTTTTTAGTCATAATTTTTGTTTTCTTGTGGTTTATTTTTAACTCTGCCATTTCACCACATTCTTTTAATTCCACCATTAGAGCTTCTATTGATTTCTTAGGGTTTTCAACTACTATAAGCAAATCTCTACAAAGGCCTGAACCTTGAATATTTCCCCTAATGATTTTGAGACTTTTAATTTTATCTGATATTCGCATCTGCTGCATTAGTACTTCAATTACAGTACCATATTAAAAAGTAATGGTGATAATGGGCAGCTTTGTTGTGTTCCTTTCTGTATTTCTATTTCTTGTGTACATTCTCCGTTGATTCTTATCTTTGCTGTCCATTTGGAATAGATAATTTTTATTATTTCAGTGAAATTCTGTCCTGGCCCCATTTCTTCTAATTGTGATATCATGATGTTTCCATTTACATTATCAAATGCTTTCTCTGCATCAATGAATAGAATTGCCATCTGTTTAGCTGGGTGTGCTTCATAATAATCCAAAAAGTTAATGAGGTTCCTTACATTGGATCTTAAATACCTCTTTGGGAGGAATCCTGCTTGATCTTGATGGATAACTTCTACCAATACTCTCCTTAATCTTGTTGCAAATATCTTATAGTCTACTTTTCCTTGAGATATTGGTCTGTAGATATTTCCTCTGCTTCTGTGTCTTCTTTATGTATAATCATAATGACAGCTTCCTTCCATGTTTTGGGTATTTCCCCCTCTTTATTTATTTCATTTATCATTTTTTAAAAAGGGGTAGCCAATACATCTTCAAATTTTTTGTAGTATTCTGCAGGTATCCCATCACTTCCTGGTGATTTCATCAGGTTCTGTTTTGCAAATGCCTCTGAAACTTCATGCATTGAATATGGCTGGTTCAGAATTTCCTGCTGTTGTTTTGATAGTTTAATGTGATTTTTCTGTTGGATGTATTCTTTCTGCTTCGAGGATGGCGTGCATTCTTCTGTATATAACTTTGTATAGAATTATTCCACAATTTCCCTATGTTTTCTAGGTCCCGTGACAAGTTAATATTTTTTGGTATCTGAGGCTTAAAATATTTTTTTGTCCTTTCCTTCTTTAGCTTATATGCCAGCCATCTCCCTACTTTATTGGCATTTTCAAAATACCCTGTTTACCCAAAAATAAGACCTAACCTGAAAATAAGCCCTAGTATGATTTTTCAGGATGCTCGTAATACAGCATAAGACCTACCCCCAAAATAAGCCCAAGTTAAGTGAAAGCCTGCCCTCCACCACTATGCAACAACCAGAAGATGACATGACTGTATTTGAATAAATAAAGATTGTTGCCGTCTACGTTGGCTTGGGCATGTCGTGAGAATGACTGATGGTCGGATTCCAAAAGATTTCCTGTATGGAGAATCAGTGCAGGGAAATCGCCCCAGAGGGAGACCACAGCTGTGATACAAGGATATCTACAAACGGGATCTGAAGGCCTTAGCAATGGACCTCAACAGATGGGAAATCTTGACGTCTAAGCATTCAGCTTGGAAGCAGGCAGTGCATCATGGCCTCTCCCAATTTGAAGAGACACTCTACAGCAGGCCGAGGCAAAGAGGCAGTCCTGAAACCAGCAAAACCAGGGAGCTGGACAGGGGACAGACTGTATTTGTCTTCAGTGTGGAAGGGATTGTCACTCTCGAATTGGCCTTCTCAGCCACGCTAGACACTGTTCCAAGACCTCTATACAGAGCACGTTACCATAGTCTCTCAAGACTGAAGGATGCCTACTAAGATTGTTGTACATGAAAAAAATAAAACATCCCCTGAAAATAAGCCCTTGACCATGATTGATTTCTGTTTGAATAAAAGGTATGATTTCTAGATTTTGGATACAGTGGTGCCCCGCATTACGATGTTAATTCGTACCAGCGAAATCGCTGTAGAACGAAAACATCGTAAAGTGAAATTAAAAAGCCCATAGAAACACATTAAACCCCGATTAATGCGTTCCTAGGAGCTTGAAACTCACTGTCCAGTGAAGATCCTCCATAGCGCGGCCATTTTCGCTGCCCGTGCAGCGAGGAATCCGTACCAGAAAAGAACAGGGAGCCATTTTTTTAACCCGGCGGCCATTCTGAAACCGCCGATCAGCTATAGGAAAATCATCATTTTGCGAGAATCGGTTCCTGAAGCAGGGAACCAATCATCGCAAAGCGAAATTCCCCCATAGGAAACATTGTTTTGCGATCGAAAAACTTCATCGTGATGCGATTTTGTCATAAAATGGAGCGCTCGTCTTGCGAGGCACCACTGTAGTTTGTTCTCCATACATACATCCACCAGCTCAAATTCATTCCATGGCAAGAGATTCTAACAGAAAAGGGAGTCCATGTGTTGGAGTTTCTTAAAAATGACACAACAACAAATAATTCCAAGAAGAAGAAAAAGTGGAAAATTAAAAAAAAGGACCAATGTGGACTCACTCACAAAAAGCTTAAGAAATGTCCTGAAAATTAAAAAGGACACATATAGGAAGTGGAAGGAAGGCCAGGCCACAAAGGAAGAGCACAGACGAGTAACAAAGAATTGCAGGGACGGCAAAAGCCGAGAACAAGCTGAAGATAGCAAGCATCAGTAAAAGCAGCAACAACAAAAACACATTTTTCAGGTACGTGCATAGCAAGACATAAAGAAAAAAACAGCAGCTAAGCTACTCAGTGCAGATGGAAAAATGATAACAGACAAAGAAAATGCAGAAGTGCTCAAGTCATACTTTAGCTCAGTCTTTTCCCAAAAGAAAGTCTATGACCCTCAAGGCAAAAGTGAAGCAAAAACTGGAGGACAGGATTGCAGCTTGAGATTGTGAAGGGAAAGACCAGAAGCTCCGGGTCTTTCTAGTAGAGCCGACTCTCTTAAAAACGTCTAAGATGACCCAGACGAGCCCTCCTTCCACCTCTGGTCTTCAGAAAGATCAAGGGACCGACGCTTGTGAGTCGGAAGAAGAACAACAGGGAGGAAAGGTGTCTTGTACAGTGGATACCAGCGACCTGGAAGAAGCCCTCAAAGGGTTAATGTCAACCGACCCTTATAAGGAAGATTTGGAGGGAAGAAGAGGGGTGGAGCTAGAGGGAGAAGAAGAGGGGTTAGGAGATATAATGGTAGAGAGGGATAATATCCCAGGTGGTTGGGACATGGTCTGGATAGAAGATCCGTGGACTGGACGCTGGGAGCAGGTGCGAGTACCCAAGGAAGAGGCCGAAAGGAGGCATAAGAGGAGTTTAATGCAGAAACCCGCTTATTGGGGGGAGACGGAGGCGAAGGCCTGGTGTAAAAAAATACGTGAAGCCAAGGAGGCCAGTGAGAGGGAAAGGGAGGCCCGTCAAGCATGGCATATAGAGCAGCCGAGGAAGATGGGCTGTTACCTGGTCCCTGGAGCAACTCGCCGCGAGAAGGAGACCCATCCTGGGGCTGGATGGGAGATGAAGAAACCCTCCCGTTACTAAGTCCACACGATCCTGAGAGAGATGACCAATTGTTGGGGAAGGTCCCTGTTGGACCTTGGGACGTTGTAACTGTTAAGACGTTTGACGAAAGTGCATGGGTGCCCTTACCGGAGCCTTTGTCCAGGCAAGAGACTAAGACTAAACCACGAGTTACTGTTGCAGTTCCGTTTAATGAGTTAAATAAAGAAAAGTGACAAGGAGAGAAAATTGCTTCCACTCCTTCTTGGGAAGAACGGGAAGCCCCAAAACCTGAACCCTCACAGAGATTAATTACGAAAGTAGTCAGAGAATACTTTATTCCTTTGAACGAATTCAGATCTCAAGGGCCAGATGAAATACTGTATTGAAAGAGCCCTCAAAGCCACTGTCTATTATTTTCTTGAAATCATGGAGGATGGATGAAGTGCCAGATGACTGGAGAAGGGCTAATATTCCTATCTTCTAAAAGGAGGAACCTGGAAACCAGTCAGCCTGACATCAGTCCCAGGGAGAATTCTGGAGCAGATTATGAAGCAATCATTTTGCAAGCACCTCGAAAACAATGCAGTAATAATTAGCATAGATTTGTCAAGAACAAATCCTGCCAGACTAATCTTATTTTTTATTTTTTATCAGGTAACCTCCCTGATAGATGGTGGGAATGTTGTACACAATATATATTCAGAAAAGCTGACAAAGTGACCTGTGTTCTTGAGACAAGAAAGCTAACTACATGTGGGTGGGACCAAACAACTGCAAGGTGGATACACAGTTGATTACAAAAGCTTATTCAGAAATGCTTATCAATGCCACTTTCTGAAACTGAGAGAAAGTAACAAGTAGGATATCACAAGGCTCAATCTTAGGGCTGGTATTCTTCAATAATTTTATTAATGACTTGGATGAGGGGTGCAGAGAGTACTTATTAAATCTGCAGACAACACAATATTGGATAAAACAGCTATACACTGAAATACAAAAACAAAATTTAAAAAGGTCTTGATAAACTTGAGCACTTGGCTTAAAACAACAGAATGAAAGTGAGTGTGAAATTCTACACCTAAGGGGAAAAAACAAACCAACACACAGTTACAAGATGGGGGAAACCTGGTTCACTAATAATACATGCAAGGAAGATTTTGTGATTGTGGCAAATCACAAACTGAATATGAGCAAACAGGGCAATGTGGCTGGAAAAAAGGCCAATGCTATTTTAGGCTGTATGAAGAGAAATATAGTCTCCAAATCCTGTGAAGTACTAATCCCTCTCTATTCAGCACTGGTTAAACCTCATCTTGAGTACTATCCTGTTTCCCCAAAAATAAGATTGGTCTTATATTAATTTTTGCTCCAAAAACATATTACGGCTTATTTTCAGGGGATGTTTTATTTTTTTTTTCATCTACAACAATCTACATTTATTCAAACACAGTCATGTAATCTTCTTCTGGAACATAGTTAGAACTCTCCAAACCCCGAATTCTGTCCTGCATTTCTTGTGACTCCCTCCAGGGAGGGGGGAGTGGTGGTGGCGGCAGTGGTGATGTTAGCATTAAGGGCCCCAACATGAACTCAAACCCCTTCCGCCGCAAGACCAGACAGTTTGTTTCATTTTGGGAATGCATTTCCTTGTTGAGGTGGTGGTGGGGAGGGGGAAATATGGATCCCACTGGCCCGCACGGACAAGACGGTTGATATACAATGAGTCCCTGGTGCAGGACAGGGTTTCACTTAACTGGGACTTATTTTTGGGTTAGGGCTTAAATCATGAGCATCCTGAAAAATCATACTAGGGCTTATTTCAGGTTAGGTCTTCTTTTCAGGAAAACAGGGTTCTGGACAACGCACTTTAAGAAAGATGCTTACAAACTGGAACAAGTTCAGAAGATGTTAACAAGCATGATAAAGGGGACTGGAAACCAAGCCCTATGAGGAAAGACTGAAAGAAGTGAGCATGCTTAGCCTTGAGAAAAGAAGACTATAGAGACAGATGAGAGCACTTTTCAAAAACTTGATTGTCATATGGAGGAGGGGCAGGATCTGTTTTCAATAATCTCAGAGTACAGAACATATAGGAATGGGCTCAAGTTAGAGAAAGCCAGATTTCAGTTGAATATCAGGAAACTCCTCCTAACTATTAGAGCAGTATGACAATGGAACCAAATATCTTGGGAGATACTGAGCACTCTTAACGCTGGAGCCATTAAAAATAAAATTGAACAACCATCTGTCAGATACACTTTAATTTGAATTCCTGCACTTTGCAGCAGGTTGGCCTTGATGGCCTTTATAGGTGCTTTCTCTTATTCTATGATTCTATAATTTTGGGTCTCACTTGAGCCAAATGATGTTGACTGCTTTTGCTTCCTACTGGTCTCCATAAATAAATAGCCAAAAATGTAAGCGATTAATACTCTGGGTAAGCATGATTAATACTCAATGGGCAAACTTAACATACCAAAAGACCACTGATGAGTATGATTGTAACAATCTGAATTCTTAAAGTTCAGTAACAAGGGTGCTACACAAAACTTTGCTATTTCTTTATATTCAGATATATTTACCTTCATCAGAAGACTTTCTCTACAATTGTTCATGAATACATGATCTTGTTTCCGATTTTCATTAATCTTATCAATAAGTTGTTGGGTTCTTTGTTCTAAATCTCCAACAGTTGAATCCAAGGATGTAAAATAATTTGAGGATTTGCTGTCCAACCCTCTTCCACTTGTGTCTGAACTATGATGAGGTGTGTTGGGAGATTCTTTCCTACATTTTGAGAAACATGTAAAAATAGCATTTTTATTGTCTTCAGTTTTATCTTGGTATTCAAAGAAGCATATTCAGTGGCTAGAATCCTGGTTATATTGTGCAACACAAATAAGACATCACACAAGTTATGTGTGCAGTCGTGTTAGCTAGCTGTGCTTTTGGACACACTCAAGTTTCACATACCTGGGTACATAAGTGGCCAACAAAATGAAAAAAAAATCATTTAACAAGGTGGTCTAATAAGCAGGTGTGTACAGGTATATGGCAGCATAAAAATTTGCCACAAAAATAATTTTAATAATAATAATAAGAAGAAAAACCTGAACATGGAGTTTAAGCAGCAAAATGTCTGAATGCTAGCTAAACATAACTGAACATAACATAAATAACATTAGAAAATTAAAAGCAAGATTGATGGACTGCAAGCAATTCCTAGTAATATTAATATTACTAGTGATTGCTTGGGGCTCAAGCAATCTTGCATGCAGCTCAAGAGGCTGGAAGCGATCCTTGCACAGGTGACGTGATGAAGCAGGATACTGTAGAAGACAGTCGTAGAGGAAGGCCGCAGGGGAATGGAGGACAGGTGAGTTTCATTTTATTTTTAAGTAAAGTTGGTTCAGCCCCTGAACACAGTTCAGATTTTTCATGGGCCCCCCTATAGAAATTAATTGCCCACCCCGGACGTAGAACAACCCATCCTTCCCCCTTAAGAGTTGTCCCTTACCTTTCTGACTCTTGCATAGGGAATGCATTCTATTTAGCACGATTGAGAGCCCTGCAGGCTAGGGGACAGGCAGAGAAGAGCAATCCAGGAGGCTGAGATTGGCCTTGTTACGTCATGGTGGCTGTGCAGCAACCTCTGCCATCGCAGCTCCAGAGACTACATTGGTGGCAGCCTGCAAGCTTCTCAGACCGTGCTGCCAGCAGTTTCCCACCTCAGCTGATCAGCTGTCCTTGCCTGCTATTGCTGCTGTCTCCTCCTTATTCGTGAGTAAGACAGGTAAACTTTGCTTTGAATGGCTCTGTAGTATGGGAGAAGAGTGTAACTGACAGCTGATAGGGCCGTTGGCTGTGGGGACGGGAGTGTGCCAAATGGCACACTTCTCCTCCCCTGCGCTTTAATCCACCCCACACCTGCAATCACTGATACTACCCCTCCCCATATGTAAATGTAGGTGGCCTTAATAATGTTTCAGTATAACAGAAATAAACACAAAATCTCTTTTTTCAAGGATACATAGGAGACACAGGAATGAGGGAACATATATTTTTCATTCCAGCAAGTCTTACTGCTGACAAGGCAGTCTTAAATGAAAGTTGCTTTCACCACTGACAGAAATATTCAGCTCCCACAACTTTGTTAAATAGACGGAATTCATTAATAAAAAATACTTCTATTTTTTTAAAAAGCCACTTTAAAAAAACAAAACCCAGTCTTACCTTGATGGATTACTATGTAATTCATTTATTTCGAAATCAGTGAAGAATGGACTATCTGGTTTATTTTTTTCAGCCCGTTCCAAGACTTCTTGAAGCTGAAATTCTTGATTAGATACAGTAGCCTTAATGACGGAAGACAAAGAATAATCAGACTTCACTGCAACCTGATCCTCTCTTGTTACTCCTCTGAATTTGTGAATTGATACTGTGCTTCTAAATTTGACAAGGGGAGCTATATCGGGAGAGGACCCCTTCCCCATATACAGAGTCACCAGTCAAAATTCTTGAAACCTATAAAAAGGCCCCAAATTTGTCATATTCTAGGATCATATGGGAGGAAAAACAGAACCCAAAGGAGAAATTTGTCAGTGAAGAGGAAGTATTACACAGATAGTGGTGAACTCCATTTTAAATGGATGCTACCGAATGTGTTGGCCCTGTAGTTTGCCCTAAAAATGAGCTGGCTGAATAACTCAATGCATTAGAGAGAGGTTGGAGAAAAAATACCAGTCTGTGTAGCCTTGGGCAAGCTGCACAATCCCAGGATGGCCCCAAAAGAAAGGACTGGTAAACCACTTCTGAATATTCTATACCTTTAAACATTTGCAGTATGTATTTATTTATTTTATGCATGTCTTGCCTTTCTTCCAATAAAGGAATAGAAGGCAGAGCTCAACTTTTTTTAAAAAAAGTGTATAAAATTATATTAAATCAAGAAATTGTCATTAACATAGGATTAAACAAAAAGAATGTTGGTTCAAAGTTTAAACAAATTGAAAATAATAGATTTTTTAAAGCACTGATAAAAATGTGCTGCATCACCATCTAAAAAATACAATCCAGCAAAGTTTAGAGGTTGTTAACATAGGATTAAACAAAAAGAATGTTGAAAACACCATTAGTTCAAAGTTTAAACAAACTGAAAATAATAGATTTTTTTAAGCACTGATAAAAATGTGCTGCATCGCCATCTAAAAAATATAATCCAGCAAAGTTTAGAGGTTGACAGTCAACAAGGAAGGTTTTCATTTGCTGGTAGAAGGACTGTAAGGAGGGTACTAGGTAACTCTGGAAAAGGCACACAATTATTACTATTACAGTACTGTAAATAGGCAGCAATTTAGGACATGGTAGAAAACATGAAAACCTGAATATGACTCTAGATATCAGGTTCACCTTGGGCTGCAGGCTGGTTTAGTCTTAACTCATGGAGTTTTAATGTATACAGCTTTAATTTCTTTATAATTTGTTCTTTGACCATGGTAGATAGTGCCTCACACGGGTGCACAGACTCTGTATATAGCCCTACCAAAAAGTCAATGGGCTGTCCTCCATATCCCCAGTTCACCATCATAATGTAACCAATTAAATAATGAACCTAAATATCCCACAATGAAATGTGGTATTTTATTTTCCTTAACAGAGTCTCACCTTACCCAAATTTGTTGAGGACTGAAAATATTGTAATTCTTGACTAAATTCTAGTTTGTTCTATGTTGATATGTAAAATGTCTAGAAATGTTGAACCCATGAACAATGGAGGAAATTTGGAAAGAATGTTGTATGTGCAATGACTTAATTTATCCTTAAACCTAGAGTTATATTGCTGGTTAAACAACATACAATTCTTCATTCATAATTCAGTTAGCATATAAACTTATGCTATTTTATACATTTTTAAAATATTAATTTTGTAGAAGCAAAATTATGTATATACAGTATCTGATACTAAAGAGAGCTGCAAAGCCCTGCTCTCTACATTACATAATCATCTGTTTCTGTAAATTTTACCATCTAAGAAATTGGGGGGGAGAGACACGAAAAAAGCAACTACAGTGCTCAGTAATAAAATAAATCTGGGTAGGAACTGTCTCACAGGGACTATCTCCTCCATCCTAAAACAAACATTCATCAGAAAAAGACAAGCAGGCCCTCTTTTCATCTCCTTTCATGAAGAGCCCAGCAACCAGTGTAACAGAAACACATCTTGGGTTTGAGTCTTGTATGTCTACAGTATGTGTGGAAATTACAGTTTGCTAATTCTATAGGATTCCCATACATACAAACGATATAGTGTGCACATGCAATATACAATCCAGTTGTCCAGACTGCCTGACAAAGATTTTTATCCCCCCCTGCCCTGTTTTTCCTAATATTTCTATTTTTTTTTTCATTGCAATAAGTAGATTTTTGTTATGTGAGGAAACAACAACAGTGGTTATTTTTCATTAATTTCTTCATCTTTCCCCCTGCTTTCACATATTAATTCTGCTGACAGTCATAGACTTAGGTTTCCAGTCACACTTTGATTTATCCTGGTTAAATAAAGCAATATGTTCATAAACTTGAATGAGAAGGGGAAGAAAATTACAAACTAGTTGTAAAACAATTGACAATTTCTAAAAAATTTAAATCACATTATGGTTTGCATATTTTCAAGCAAAACAATAAAAATAACATATATATATTTAAAATCACAACCTGAGGGGAAATATGAAACCAAAACATCTAAACTGGAGAGTGGCTTTTGTTCTCCTTTTCAACCATGAAGTTGTGCAACCTCAAGCAAACCTATCATTAGGGAACAACATGATTTGATGTGCTCATTGTAAAGGACAACACAACTTCTTGAGAGGAAAGCTTTAAGGTTCTGTTACTTCTGACCATCTTTTCCTTTTTAAAACTTTACAGTCAGGTTTAGGACAGGGGATGAGGAAGAAATTAAGCCAATGTATTCCAGGATGGGGCAGAGAATTAGGTCCATTTTTGCTGTATGAGCAATAATATATGTTGATTAAAAATAAACAATGATTATCACTGAGGATTGCAGAAAACTGGGCATACACTTCACCAGAGGGATTACACATCATAAAATGTAGACATTTTAAAAGAGGTCACCTGCCCCAAAGGAGTGCGCAGTGGAGAAGGGGGCTGGAGAGGCCATGGTGTTTGCTCACAACTGTGAAGGAAGATTCACACTTTACCTCCATCCTCTCAGTGCTCTAGTCGAAAAGAATTAGATCCTGAGGAGAAATTTCCCCCCTCCCACAATCACTGTCACTTTGTCTTCACAGACAATCAGCAGAAGGCTTTCTCTTCCAATCCCGCAAATATGGCAGGGGAGGAGGTGGAGCCTGTTTAGAAACTTTCTAGGCCTCAAGTGAAGGAAGGAAGGAATGTAATGCAGTAATGCAATGTAACTGCTACATAGGAGTGGATTACTGAGATATTGCTAGGCCTGAAGAGAAGTTTGATGGGAGTTGCAGTCCAATAATATCCCTTCACGGCAAGGATAGGTCTAAAGGCTGCCTCAAGTGAAGTCCTTTATACAAAGGAAAGGCTTTGGTTTTTTTTCTCCGCTCAGGGACAATAGGCTTACAGGATCAGTACCAAATGTGTATCTGTGGCACTCCCATGTTAAAATCAGAATTAGGATCCTTAACTGATGTCCTGACATGCCTCAACAAAGTTGTGTGTGAGGCATTTTGAGCATTTGAAAGGCTGTTTTTTGTTTTTTTTAAAAAATTAGCATTGTGGTGCAATTCATTTATTTATTTATTTATTTGTTTCATTTTTATACTGTCTATCGGGCCGAAGGCCACTCTGGGCGGTTTACAACATGTACTGTATACAACAGGCTTAAAATACAATTCAACAAAGGAGAAAATAGAAATAATAAAATGCAAAGAAACAATGCCATCAAAATCGAAAAATACATTTACTTAAAATATTCAGAACATTTAAAACATTTTAAATGGTGGGCTGGATCATGTAAGCTAACTAAGCTCCACTGAGTCCACAGATACAACATTTTGGAACGCTTCCCTAAATAACCAGGTATTCAATGACTTTTTAAAATCCAGAACTTGACTCTTTGGTGATGGGCAGTGGCCTCAATGAGTTTCCTTAAATTACAGAAAGATGTTTGCATTTTACACACTTCAAACATTTGGTTATGGGGAGATTTTGCAGGAAAGCTGAGCTATTGAGCAATATGGTGGTAATCCCATTGATCATGGTGTCCTTCTGGATAGGCTGGCTGGGTTGGGAGTTGGGGGCACTGCTTTATGGTGATTTCGCTCCTTCCTAGCCGACCATGTCCAGAGGGTGGTGCTGGGGGACAGTTGCTCTGTCTCATGGCATTTATGTCATGGGGTTCTTCAGGGGTCGATACTGTCCCCCATGCTGTTTTACATCTACTTGGAACCGCTGGGAGAGGTCATCAGGAGGTTTGGGCTGAGAAGTCAGCAATATGCTGACGACACTCAGCTCTAGCTCTGGTCTTCCACCAATCCAGGTGAGGCGGTTTCTGCGCTGAACCCGTGTCTGGACCTGATAATGGATTGGATGAGAGTTAATAAATTGAAACTCAATCCAGACAAGACAGAAGTGCTGTTAGAGGGTGCTTCGCTGGACAGGCTGGAGGGCCATTTTCCTTTCCT